TTTAATGACTAGTCTATATGGATTCATATGATTTTTACAAATTAAAGTCATATAAAAATTATGAATTGCCATGAGATTCCCTATCATGCCATTTAAAAAAACAAACAAAAAAAAACGGTGTATTCCAGACATTGAGAATCAGGGATTTTTCTTTTATTTTTGTCTAAGTCATGGAATAACAGGGATTTTTGTTTATCATTTAAATTCTAACCTCCCATTTATCAACATGTCCGATGATCATGCTTAACTTGACATTCTAACAAATGTAGTTTGAAACCTGTTCTTACAGAAAGTGTTATGAAGTGGTCATAAACGAGTGCCCTTTTAATGTTATATAATCAGTAAGTGCGCACTTCTATTTTACAAGGGTTTAAACTAGATTATCAGTGTTGGAACTGGGCAGCAATTGCAGATATCTTCTTTTCTGGAGCTTACTCCAATTTTGAAATCTGCTCGATTTTCAGAGCGGTAATATAACGCAGTACAGAGAATGAGGCACATTGTTAAGTGAATTCACTGTGCCTGGAGTAGGCTTCATTTATTCTCACGGGTGAAACCGAGCATAGCTTTTACGTGATGGTACAATTGTCAAAGGGAAATGCTCAGCTCAGCTGAAATGATCCCACATACATTACTTCCACACATCTGGATTTTTACACTGGCAATGAAAGAAACTGCCTCTAGAGAAGAGCTGCTCTCACAAGACATTGGCAGAGATGAGAGCAAATATGAGGCAAAGGCTTTGATAAATATAATTCTAGCCACTGTTATATCATGTATGACTTCTAATTGTAGATTTGATCTATTCTAAAGACTAAAATGACTTTAAAAGGGCTGTTTTTTTACTCATAATTTGAACCACAAAATCAGTCGCGTTAGCCAAAAATACACTGCATGGGTCAAAATAATTGCTCTTACTTTAATGCCACACATCTGAATATTAAGAAAATCATGTTCTGTGGATGCATCTTGTAAATTTCCTATTGTAAATATATCAAAAGTCAGTAATGTGCACTTTTTAAAACAAATTTTAAAAATTTTTTATGTCAAAAATCATTAGAATATTAAGTAAAGATCATGTTAGTGAATATGTTTTATACATTTTCTACTGTATATACTTCAAAACTCAGTTTGTGGTCAGTAATGTACACTGTGAAGGACTTATTTTGGACAACTTTAAGGTGATTTTCTCCGTATTTTCGTTATTTTAACCCTCAGATTGCAAATGTTCAAAAATTCATTTCATTCATTCATTTCCTTGTCGTCTTAGTCCCTTTATTAATCCAGGGTCGCCACAGTGAAATGAACCGGCAACTTATCCAGCAAGTTTTTACACAGCGGATGCCCTTCCAGCCGCAACCCATCTCTGGGAAATTTTCAAATAATATTGGGTGACGCTTTATATTAGGTGACCTTAACTAATATACACTCACACTGACATTAATGAATCTTTACAATTTTACTTGTAGGTCAAAAACCTAACATTAGGTAATAAATATAATATTAATGTAACGTAATATTAATATAATATCTTAACATTAGAATATTAAGTAAAAATCTTGTTCTGTGTACATTTCCTACTGTGACTACATCAAACCTTAATTTGTGATTATTAATGTGCACTGTGAAGGACGTAATTTGGACATTTAAAAGGTGTTTTTCTCAGTATTCTGATTTTTTTGTTCACCCTCAGATTGCAGATTTTCTAATACAGTATTTCTTGGCCAAATATTAGGTGTCGCTTTATATTAGGTGGCCTTAACTAATATACACTCACAATGAAATTAACAAATTTTTACAATTTTTTATGTCAAAAATCATTAGAATATTAAGTAAACATCATGTTAGTGAATATGTTTTATACATTTTCTACTGTGAATACTTCAAAACTCAGTTTGTGGTCAGTAATGTACACTGTGGACTTAATTTGGACAACTTTAAGGTGATTTTCTCTGTATTTTCGTTATTTTAACCCTCAGATTGCAAATGTTTAAATATTCATTCATTCATTCAATTATTTCCTTGTCGGCTTAGTCCCTTTATTAATCCGGGGTCGCCACAGTGGAATGAACCGCCAACTTATCCAGCAAGTTTTTACACAGCGAATGCCCTTCCAGCCGCAACCCATCTCTGGGAAAATTTCAAATAATATTGGGTGACGCTTTATATTAGGTGACCTTAACTAACATACACTCACACTGACATTAATGAATCTTTACAATTTTACTTTTAGGTCAAAAACCTAACATTAGGTAATAAATATAATATTAATGTAATGTAATATTAATATAATATCTTAACATTAGAATATTAAGTAAAAATCTTGTTCTGTGTACATTTCCTACTGTGACTACATCAAACCTCAATTTGTGATTATTAATGTGCACGGTGAAGGACGTAATTTGGACATTTAAAAGGTGTTTTTCTCAGTATTCTGATTTTTTTGTTCACCCTCAGATTGCAGATTTTCTAATACAATATTTCTTGGCCAAATATTAGGTGTCGCTTTATATTAGGTGGCCTTAACTAATATACACTCACAATGAAATTAACAAATGTTTACAATTTTTTATGTCAAAAATCATTAGAATATTAAGTAAACATCATGTTAGTGAATATGTTTTATACATTTTCTACTGTGAATACTTCAAAACTCAGTTTGTGGTCAGTAATGTACACCTGTGAAGGACTTAATTTGGACAACTTTAAGGTGATTTTCTCAGTATTTTCGTTATTTTAACCCTCAGATTGCAAATTTTTAAATATTCATTCATTCATTCATTCATTCATTCATTCATTCATTTCCTTGTCGGCTTAGTCCCTTTATTAATCCGGGGTCGCCACAGTGGAATCAACTTATCCAGCAAATTTTTACACAGCGGATGCCCTTCCAGCCGCAACCCATCTCTGGGAAATTTTCAAATAATATTGGGTGACGCTTTATATTAGGTGACCTTAACTAATATACACTCACACTGACATTAATAAATCTTTACAATTTTACTTTTAGGTCAAAAACCTAACATTAGGTAATAAATATAATATTAATGTAACGTAATATTAATATAATATCTTAACATTAGAATATTAAGTAAAAATCTTGTTCTGTGTACATTTCCTACTGTGACTACATCAAACCTCAATTTGTGATTATTAATGTGCACTGTGAAGGACGTAATTTGGACATTTAAAAGGTGTTTTTCTCAGTATTCTGATTTTTTTGTTCACCCTCAGATTGCAGATTTTCTAATACAGTATTTCTTGGCCAAATATTTGGTGTCGCTTTATATTAGGTGGCCTTAACTAATAAACACTCACAATGAAATTAACAAATGTTTACAATTTTTTATGTCAAAAATCATTAGAATATTAAGTAAACATCATGTTAGTGATTATGTTTTATACATTTTCTACTGTAAATACTTCAAAACTCAGTTTGTGGTCAGTAATGTACACTGTGAAGGACTTAATTTGGCCAACTTTAAGGTGATTTTCTCTGTATTTTCATTATTTTAACCCTCAGATTGCAAATTTTTAAATATTCATTCATTCATTCATTCATTCATTCATTCATTTCCTTGTCGGCTTAGTCCCTTTATTAATCCGGGGTCGCCACAGTGGAATGAACCGCCAACTTATCCAGCAAATTTTTACACAGCGGATGCCCTTCCAGCCGCAACCCATCTCTTGGAAATTTTTCAAATAATATTGGGTGACGCTTTATATTAGGTGACCTTAACTAATATACACTCACACTGACATTAATGAATCATTACAATTTTACTTTTAGGTCAAAAACCTAACATTAGGTAATAAATATAATATTAATGTAATGGGTAACACTTTACAAAAAGTTTCATTAGTTAATGCATTTACTAACATGAGCTAATCATGAACAACACATGTACAGCATTTATTAATCATAATTGAACATTTACTAATGCATTATTAACATCCAACTCCATGCTTGTTAATATTAGTTAACGCACCATGAGTTAACATGAACTACGAACTACTGTATTTTTAATAACTAACATTGACTAACATGAACAAATACAGTAGTAAATGTATTGTTCATTGTTTGTTCATGTCAGTAAATGCATTTATTAACATTAACTAATGAACCTTATTGTAAAGTGTGACTATGTAATGTAATATTAATATATCTTAACATTAGAATATTAAGTAAAATCTTGTTCTATGTACATTTCCTACTGTGACTACATCAAACCTTAATTTGTGATTATTAATGTGCACGGTGAAGGACGTAATTTGGACATTTAAAAGGTGTTTTTCTCAGTATTCTGATTTTTTTGTTCACCCTCAGATTGCAGATTTTCTAATACAGTATTTCTTGGCCAAATATTAAGTGTCGCTTTATATTAGGTGGCCTTAACTAATAAACACTCACAATGAAATTAATAATTTTTTACGATTTTGATTTTATGTCAAAAATCATTAGAATATTAAGTAAAGATCATGTTAGTGAATATATTTTGTATATTTTCTACTGCGAATACCTTAAAACTCAGTGTGTGGTTAGTAATGTGCACTGTGGACTTAATTTGGACAACTTTAAGGTGATTTTCTCAAAATGTTGATTGTTTTGACCAAAAGTTTTCACCCTTGTTGTCCATCCTAAGAAACCAAACATTAATGGAAAGCCTATTTATTACATTTTCAGGTGATGTACAGTATGATCTGAATTTTAAAAATTTAAACTTGTGACTAGTTTGGTGGTAACCTTGTGAGGATGAGCAAATATTGTTTCCAACCCTGTTCCCAGAGGCACACCAACAGTACATATTTTCATGTCTCCCTTATCTGACTCAATAACGTCAGGTTTTGGAGTTGATTGTGTTTGATTAGGGAGAGGTTGAAGTGTGTACTGTTGGTGAGCCTTCAGGAACAGGGTAGGGAAACACTGGTTTAGACTGACACACAACATGTTTGATTGCCAGATGAATCCAACCTCATCAAACTGAATTAATGCGCAGATCTGCATGGCTCAAATAGTTCTGGTGGGCATCTTTATTTATGTATCGTTAAAAATATCCAACTATTTACAATCTGGCTCAAAAGGAATCATTTTAATGAGAAATGGAAAAAAAATAGTCACAGTTTTCAAGAAAACAGGTACTGCCTTTCAATAATCTTACATCTGCAAGCAGATTCTGCAAGACATTTTGAGATGCGCTTAAAGAGTTAGTTCAGCCAAAAATGAAAACTCTGTTATTGATTACACACACTGATGCCATTCCAATCCTGTGAGATCTTGGTTCATCCTCAGAACGCAAGTTAAGATATTTTAGATGATTTGAGAGCTCCCTCATCATCCATAGACACAGAAAAGGTTTCGTGATGTTCAAAGTCCAGAGAAGGAACCAAAAACATTGTCAGAACTTTTCATGTGACTTCAGTTTTTCAACTATAATTATACAAATCTCCAAAAACATGTAGTGATAGTCTATGGAGGATTCGAGCGCTCTAAGATTTCATCTAGTTTGTGTTGATGCGTTGTGACGAATCTTCAACGTTTGTCTCAAGGTTTGGAATGACATGTGGGGAGAATTTTTGTATGAACTAACCCCTAAATAGAAGCTTGTCATGAAAGACAAATGTCTGAGGAAATATATATATATATATATATATATATATATATATATATATATATATATATATATATATATATATATATATATATAACAATTTGCCTTAAAGCAGTGTTTCTCAACCATGTTTCCAGAGGACCACCAACTCCGCACATTTTCCATATCTTCTTAACCAAACACACCTGATTCAGATCATTAGCTCATTTGCAGAGACTGAAAGACCTGTAATAGGTGTGAAAGTTGAAAGAGACATCCAGAACATCCAGTGTTGGTGGTCCTCCAGGAATGTGGTTGCGAAACACAGTCATGGGGATTGAGGCTATGTCTACAGTGGAGATCAAAATTAGAGAACCACATTTCCTAAATTTTAAGGTCACTACTTGGTCCTGTCTGAAGTTATCCTAACAGGAGAAGTGAAGACTCTACATTGATTCGAAAACAACATATTCACTTTAAAGCAATAAATGGAAGTCAGGAGGAGGAAAAGTGCAACGTGAGGGTTGTGTGTTTCTGACAAGAGTCCTTCATAAAGGTCAGCCGTCAACTTTCTTCAAGCCTCTTCCCATAAGGCACGCGAACACCGTCATCACCATCTTGGGTTTGACCTCCACAAGGTCATCGGGCAGGGCGTACACCTTGACTCCTATTTTTCGCGCCACAGAGATTGCATATCTGCGAGTGGGAAACAGAGATAGGGAGACAGTTGCTGGAGGCGAGACAGAAGGCAATTTGGCGTCAGATGCGTATCGGGGTAATTTATGTGAGGGAACTTACTTTGCATTGTTTAGCTTGTCCTCTGCCGTCATGTCGCCGCTCTTCACCATCTCGTATTTAATGGCTTTGGGCACAATGGTGTCGATCAGATCAATCACTGGCAGGCTTGTGCTGATCGATTTGTCCTGTATTGATGCATTTTTTAAAATATATTTAAACAGTTTTTTTTTATATGATAATGGTTTGTTATTGTTATGGCACATTATGAAAGCGATTCTGACTGTAAATGTCTGATGGGATTCACCTTGAAGCTGCTAATGGAGGAGTTTTTATCGCCTTGTTTCAGAGTGCTGTTCACCCAGTTGATTATTATTTGGTCACTGACTTTTTCCCCATCACCAAGATCAGACAGAACCTTCAGTGTGTATCTGGGAGAGTTATTGTTTATAAGAAAGAAGGAAATTAATGAGACATTAAAATAAAAATATAAACAGTAGAAGTCAGAATTGTTAGCCCCCCTGAATTATTAGCCCCTGTTTATATTTTTCCCCTAATTTCTGTTTAACGGAGAGAAGATTTTTTTTAAACGCATTTCTAAACATAATAGTTTTAATAACTCATCTCTATTAACTGATTTATTTCATCTTTGCCATGATGACAGTAAATAATATTTTACCTGATATTTTTCAAGACACTTCTATACAGCTTAAAGTGACATTTAAAGGCTTAACTAGGTTAATTAGGTTAACTAGGCAGGTTAGGGTAATTAGGCAAGTTATTGCATAACGATGGTTTGTTCTGTAGACTATCGGAAAAAAAAATAGCTTAAAGGGGCTAATCATTCTGACCTTAAAATGTAAAAAAAAAAAAAATAAAAGCTGCTTTTATTCTAGCCGAAATAAAACACATAAAACTTTCTCTAGAAGAAAAAATATTATCAGACATACTGTGAAAATTTCCTTGGTAAAGTCCATTTGGGAAATATTTAAAAAATAAAATAAAATTCTAAAAGGAGGCTAATAATTACGACTTTACCTGTAACTGATAAATTATGTGCCGGAAATCATCGTGAAGATTGTGGAAAAAATAAAAAATGCTAGACTTTCTGCGATGATGTTGTGAGGCGTCGCAGACATGGTATATATATATATATATATATATATATATATATATATATATATATATATATACAGTTGATGTCAGAATTATTAGCCACCCTGAATTAGTAGACCTCTTGTTTATTTTTTCCCCAACGGAAAGAAGATTTTATTCAACACTTTTCTAAACATAATAGTTTGTTCAGTAGATTATCGAGAAAAAATATATAGCTTAAAGGGGCTAATAATTTTTTCCATAAAATGGTGTTTAAAAAAATATAAAACTGCTTTTATTCTATCCGAAATAAACACATAAAACTTTCTCTAGAAGAAAAAATATTATCAGACATACTTTGAAAATTTCCTTGGTAAACTCCATTTGGGAAATATTTAAAAAATAAAATAAAATTCTAAAAGGGGGCTAATAATTCAGATTTTTACTGTAACTGATAAATTATGTGCCGGAAATCGTTGTGAAGATTGCGGAAAAAAAAAAAAATGCTAGACTTTCTGCGATGATGTTGTGAGGCGTCGCAGACATGGTATCGGTTGTTGTGAACTATGCCAGGTTACATGAGAAGAAAATATTTTTTGTCGTTTATGACTCCCCACGACATCCTACGTCAAGGTAATCGTACTGAAATCATGACAAAATCATGTGATCTGATCGGGGCTTTAATCGTTTTTTACAAATTTAAGTGGACTAAACATAAAACTGTTAATTTGTCCTGAAAAAAAAGACTTAAGAAGTGTGTTGTTTTAACTCATTTTAAATAAGTAGTTTGAACAAGCAGCAAAGGTATTTTATTTTAGATCCTCTTCCAGTAAACCAACTTGTATATTAGATTGTAAAAATTAATACATACATATATATATATATATATATATATATATATATATATATATATATATATATATATATATATATATATATATATATATATATATATATATATACAGTTGATGTCAGAATTATTACCCCCCCTGAATTAGTAGACCGCTTGTTTATTTTTTCCCCAACGGAAAGAAGATTTTATTCAACACTTTTCTAAACATAATAGTAACTCATTTCTATAATGGATTTATTTTATCTTTACCATGATGAGAGCACTTAATATTTTACTAGACATTTTTAAGACAATTCTATCCAGTTTTAAGTGACATATAAAGGCTTAACTAGGTTATTTAAGTTAACTAGGCAGGTTAGGGTAATTAGGCAAGTATTTGTGTAAAAGTGGTTTGTTCAGTAGATTATCGAGAAAAAATATATAGCTTAAAGGGGCTAATATTTTTTTTCTCCATAAAATGGTGTTTAAAAAAATATAAAAATGCTTTTATTATAGCCAAAATAAAACAAATAAGACTTCCTCCAGAAGAAAAAATATTATCAGACATACTGTGAAATTTTCCTTGCTCTGTTAAACATCATGTGGAAAAAAATTATAAAAGGAAAAAAATTTGAAGGGGGCTAATAATTGTGACTTCAACTATATATATATATATATATATATATATATATATATATTTCATTAAATTTGCCAAAATGTAAAACAGTCACGAACTGGCATGCTCGTGTACTGAAAGCAATATCATATATAGATCTAGTACCTTCTCATTAGTTGCCAGACCAGTGCCAGCGTGTGCATGGGGCTTCCCTCATTGATATTCTCACCGCCGATTCCTACCAAGGAAAACTTTGCTTCCTTTTTGCCCAGTGCGACCGCATAATTGCAATTCTCAAGCTACAAAACAAACATATGTCAGGCGAATTAACATGACATGTATAATTCAACTCCATCTACAGCAGCGTTCCATACACAACTAGCATTTTTGATGAATAAAGTGTGCATTTGGAATTCTAAAGAGTTAGCCGCTAGCCTGGGGGAGCTGCGCTAATCAGTTTAGCAGATACAGGAATTCAACATAGCTGGGTGCACTTTTATTTTAATCTTCTGCCAGAAACGTATTTTTTGACTGGCTAATGTTCTGAAGTTACTTGAAGGTGATCTCAGCTATTAGCTTTTTAATACTTTTAGCTTGTCAAAAGGCAAACCTTCTTCATGTTGGAGCCGAGTACAGGGTAGGGAGGTTTGTTGACTCTAGGCCAGTCAACCGGTATCTGGATTCTCTCATATAACTGAAGAATGATGAGGCCGTCGTGCAGATCACTGGAGAAAAGAATGATCGGAATGAACTTTACTCTTTTGGTTGTAATGTTTTATGCTTAAGACAATGAATTAAGATCAACTGTGTTTAAAGGTTGACATTACCAGAGATATGTCAGCACGTTTCTTCATAGCCACTCAACAACAACAACAAAATAAGGTGTGTATGCTCTGGCATTTAAAGGGATAGTTCACCCCAAAATGAGAATTTACTGTCTATGTATCCTCATTTAATTACAAACCTTTATTTTCTTTCGCTGAACCTAAAAGCAGGGTCCCCACACTTCATGAAAGTACAAACCCAAATCAGAAAAAGTTGGGTCAGTATGAAAAATGCTAATGAAAAAGACAGAAGTGATTTCTAAATTTACTTTGACTTGTGTTTTACTGCAGGCAACAAACATTATTTAATTTGTTCCTCAAAATTTTTATTGTTTTTTTAATACACTGAAAACCCTAAAAAGTTGACTGAACTAAATTAATTGAATAAACTTGTTGCCTCAATTTAATTGAGTAATGGAGTCTCTCAAAACCACTACCTGACACAAGTCTTGACGTTGATCCCAGTTGTAAGAGCAACAAATAATAACTTGACTTCTAGTTATGGTAGAACTGCATCTTAATCATCACAAATACCGCAGAAGACCTATTGTAACCCGAATGCACCCAAGATTCTCAATGAAATTCATGGTTTGGGGTTACATGCAGTACGGGGGCGTGCGAGAGATCTGTAGAGTGGATGGCGACATCGACAGCCTGAGGTATCAAGACATTTGTGCCGCTCGTTAAATAACAAACCACAGGAGAGGGCAAATTCTTCAGCAGGATAGCGCTCCTTCTCACACTTTGGCCTTCACATTAAAGTTCCTGAAAGCAAAGAAGATCAAGGTGCTGCAGGATTGGGCAGCCCAGTCACCATACATGAACATTATTGAGCATGTCCGGGGTACAATGAAGGAGGAGGCATTGAAGATGAATCCAAGGAGTCTTGATGAACTCCGGGAGTCCTGCAAGAACGCTTTCTTAGCTATTCCAGATGACTCTAAGTGATTTGAGTCATTGCAGAGATGTATGGATGCAGTCCGAGCTCAGGAGTCAGACAAAATTACATTCTTTTTCCACTGCACCATGACTTTATATTCTATACTGTACATTATTTCTGACAAGACTTTTGTCTAATTAAAGACCTCACTGTCCTAATTCAATAATTAAAAATCAAGGCATGATCATATTTTATTTCGGTAAAATAAGCGTAATCTAGAGGCCTTTGCCTTTCAAATAAGCCATTTCTTAAGTCAAATGATCAACTAGAAGTCAAGTTATTATTTGTTCCTAAAAAGTCTTTTCTCAGATATAGGGTATATTCTGTGCAAACCTTAGTTTAGTTTGGCCTGCCATTTTTAGAGTATGTTGTCATAATAATAAAAAAAAGGAGAAACAATTACAGTAAATGTCTGTATTACCTGTACAGGTGATTAACGTATGGAGAGACCCCCAGAGAATTCATCCAGTTCCTGAATGTTCTGTCCTCTCTCGTTTCCCCTGTGCCAAGAGACAGAGATCACTTATTAATAACACGCCACCGTGTTGTGCCTGCTATTTATTTTAAGGATCATTATGGACTTTAAATATAGTTTATTTACTGAATTATTTTCATTGGATGCCCATGTTTAAATCGACCTTAGTTCACCAAACACTGTCCACCCTCTTACTCAAATAAACAGGCTATTTTTGCTGCCATAGCTTTAGGGCTTCTACTTTATATACAGCCTATTAGCATTGCTGAATAGACTGACATTGATACAGTTAAAGTCTGAATTATTTTTCCTCCTAAATTCTTAGGCCCCTTGATATATATATATAGAAAGTAGACTTTTTTTTAATCACATTTCTAAACATAATAGTTTTAATAACTCATTTCTAATAACTGAATTCTTTTAGTTTTGCCATGTTGACAGCAAATCATATTTTACTAGATATTTTTATAGTTTTCAAAGTACTAGTATTCAGAGAACAACTTTAGTAAGACTTTTTTTTTTGCTGAATATGCACTGGACTCATCTCACACAATGTAGTTTTTATGCTCAAATAATCACTCATACTATACATTTCTGTTTATTATTTTACAATTAGAAAATTGAGGAGGTTTGTGAAATTACTAAAATAGTTGTTAGAAACCTTCAGTACACACGATCATCAGACTGCTTCTCCACAAACAAGGAGAGGGGGAAAATCACAAGATATCGTCCCAAAAAAATTCCAGAAACTTTATGATGATTAAAATTTATGATTTTGCTATCAAATTCAAAACATATACTCAAGAGATGTGTGGATTTTGACCTATTACTTTTGTGTATTGCTCCAGGACTCATTTTATATTTGTTTATGAAATAATAAAATGTTTAGTGCGATGCATTTTCTTTTTACATTACTTAAACATCGATAACCTTTTTTTTTTTTTTTTTAGTTTTGAGCATTATAAATTAGATGATGAATACTAAAGCTCAAACTGTCTTCTTTGCAAAGATTCATGAAGTGTGAATGCAGCCCAAATTCTTCAGCAACTGTTATTGTTTTAGTTTAGGAAGGTCATTTCTGAGAAAATGCCTCTGACAGTGAGGGAAAGAAGGACATCGATGTAGTCTCGAAAAACTTTTCAGAAATCTCAATTTGCATGCTATCTCCATCATATTTTAAATATAAACCCATGACACAATTGGCTTTCAAGGTATATCTTTTTAGGTGATTACATTAATGTCAGGCTGTGTTTGTATATGAAAACACAAATATTGCATTTTTCCTTTCTCATTACTTCATAATGTATAACTTTTCATATTTTTCAGCATGAAACTTTCTAGATCAGGGGTCACCAATCTCGGTCCTGGAGGGCCGGTGTCCCTGCAGGGTTTAGCTCCAACTTGCCTCAAGACACCTGCCTGAATGTTTCAAGTATACCAAGCAAGACCTTGATTAGCTTGTTCAGGTGTGTTTGATTAGGGTTGGAGCTAAAATCTCCAGGACACCGGCTCTCCAGGAACAAGTTTGGTGATCACTGTTCTTGATGGACTATAGTAAAGCTCAAAATGTCTTCTTTTCAATGATACCTTTCCAATGATTTACATTTAAATCTCACTGGGGTCAAGAACTGTTAAAATTTTAAGTTAGGTAGGTGTAAATACCCAAAAGTGAGTGTTAAACAGGTTTAAGTGCAATTTAAATGCGTAACTAAGTTAATTAAGCAAGTTAGGGTAATTAGGCAAATTATTACGATGGTTTATTCTGTAGACAATTAAAAATATAGCTTAAGGGGGCTTATAATATTGACTTTAAAATGTTTCTTTTTTTATTTTTATAAATATATAATAATTTAGCTGAAATAAAGCAAATAAGACTTTCTCCAGAAGAAAATATATTATAGGAAATACTGTGAAAAATTCCTTTCTCTGTTAAACATCATTTGGGAAATATTGAAAAAAAAAATATAATTATAATAAAAAAATAACAGGAGGGTGAATAATTTAGACTTCAACTGTAAATGTGATATATAAATAACGAAGAAGTTTGTGAATTTTAGCATATCCTCCCTCATTAATGTGTTTAAATATACAGTATAAATCAAAATTATTAGCCCCCTTGTTTATTTTTCCCCCAATTTATGTTTTTATTTATTTATTTATTTTTATTTATTTATTTAAGTTTTTTCAACACATTTCTAAACATAATAGTTTTAATAACTCATTTCTAATAACTGATTTATTTTATCTTTGCCATGATTTCAGTAAATAATATTTGATTAGATATTTTTAAGACACTTCTATACAGCTTAAAGTGACATTAAAAGGCTTCACTGGGTTAATTAGGTTAAATAGGCAGGTTAGGGTAATTAGTTGGTGTATTCAGGCAAGTAATTGTATAACAGTTGTTTGTTCTTTAGACTATCGAAAAAATATATAGCTTAAAGGGGCTAATAATATTGACCTTAAAATGGTTTTAAACATTTTTTTTCTAGCAGAAATAAAACAAATAAGACTTTCTCCAGAAGAAAAAACATTATCAGACATTCTGTGAAAATATCCTTGCTCTCTTAAACATAATTTGGGAAATATATAAAAAAATAAAAAAATAAATTCAAAGAGGGGCTAATAATTCTGACTTCAACTGTAGATTAATATCTATGCTGTGTGCTCATCCCACTGCTCTTCATGCTGCTGACCCATGACTGCACTGCTAGGTTGAGTTCCGGTGATATCTTCAAGTTCGTCGATGACACAACAGTGGTATAGGTCTCATCAGCAACAATGATTAAACGCGCTACAGAGGGGAAGTTTCACAGGCGTTATTTCTATTGCTCATAGAGATTAATGCAAAAGACGCCCAATGTGAATGGCCCCTAACGTGTTTATTCTGGGATTACCTCTCTAAATTAATACATTTGTATAAAGTAAATTGTATCTCAAAGATTACTGGGGCACAGCTGATTTACAAGATGCCGATCCCTGGCCGATCACCCATATTGCCCATGCCTAAATTCGCCACTGCATCTCTCTGACTCTTGCGCCAGGTTGCACATTTGCACTATTGACACTTTCCTAATCACTCCATGTCTTTTGGAAACACTGTGCATTTCAAATCGTGCTTCTTATAGGTGAGTGGGCCTGACAAACCACCTGTAGAAACATCTTACAAGGACTCAATAAGGAAAGCCATGTTTGCTACAGTGTAAATGTACCACAGTCATGTTGCACTGCTTGCTTTAACCTTAAATAACTCATTTGCACAACATTAAACCTTAAATACCTCTTTTGCACAATATCCTGCACAACATTGTTCAGTCCCATGTAAAAGTACTTGTATAGCCTGTCTTATAGGTAAGTATCTTACAGAATGTGATTGTATTTATGATTAATTTATGTAGCACGGTGGTCCTGCGAGACACAACATTTCATTCCTGTCTGTATGACCACACATGTGGCGGAATGACAATAAAGCTTAAATAGCAAAACTTCTGAACTAAAAAAGATCTTTTAAACATTGGCTTTAATTAAGAAGAGACTCAACACTGCGAGCTGAATAAAAGCGTTATGTGTTCAGCCAAGAGCATTGTGGTAAAATAATCATTCACAGTATCTCTCTTTGCAATGTAAATGGAGAAAAAAGGCAGTTACTGTAAGTGGGTTCAGGCAAATCAGCTTATCTGTATCGGTTTGATGGCATACAGACACAGAATGGAGGAGAAAATGGGACAATCGGTTTAGCAGGACAGAAGAGAAATAAAGAGACAGAGAGATGAACTTAATTACCCACATTTACTGCTGTCATCTGTGAGCCTCTAAAACGTGCGCAGGCTCGCATTGGTGACCCTCTGACAAACATGAAAAGTCATTATATGTGCAGAAACCACAGCGCCCCCTGTTGCTCACAGATGTGACTACAAACATTGTTGCAAACTGTTATTAGCCTTTCTGATATTATAAATTTAGCTTAATTCATTAACTAACTAACTATCATTATTCATAATAATCATTGTTATTTAAACTAGTTATAGTAGCAGCAGTATTGTCATTTATATTACCAACAATGTTATTAATAATAACACTAGTTTCTATTTGGTCAATTATATTTAATTAATTATATTGTTATAATTATATATTTGGTTTATTAATTATAATAATAATAATAAAATAATAATAGTAGTAGTAGTTGTTGTTTCCAGCAGCTGTAGTATTGTTAATAATAATAACAATTATTATTATTTTTACTGTTGTGGTTGTTATTATCATTATTATTATTCCTAGTTATAGCAGCAGAATTGTTATAAAAATTATTAATAATAATAAAAATTAATAATAATATTTGTAGTAGTAGTAGTTGTATCAGCAGCGGTTCTATTGTTATTATTAATTAATTATTTAATAATAACAAATATTATTATTATTGATCTTGTTGTTATTATTATTAGTTATAGCAGCAGCAGTAATGTTGTTTTTGATAATAATAATAATAATAATAATAACAATACTCATTATTACTATTATTGTTATTATTTATAGCAGCAGTATTGTTATTATTTTAAAACATTACATGTAAAATAGTAATAAAATAATAATAATAATAATAATAATTAAAATAATTAATAGTTAATTATAAAATAATAATTACTTCTACTACTACTAGTAGGTTTTGTATCAGCAGCAGTACTATTGTTATTATTATTCATTCATTCATTCATTTTCTTGTCGGCTTAGTCCCTTTATTAATCCGGGGTCGCCACAGCGGAATGAACTGCCAACTTAATCCAGCAAGTTTTTACGCAGTGAATGCCCTTCCAGCCGCAACCCATCTCTGGGAAGCATCCACACACACATTCACACACAGATTCATACACTACGGGCAATTTAGCCTACCCAATTCACCTGTACCGCATGTCTTTGGACTGTGGGGGAAACCGGAGCACCCGGAGGAAACCCACCCGAACGCAAGAAGAACATGCAAACTCCACACAGAAACAGCAACTGAGCCAAGGCTCGAACCAGCGAATAATATAATAATAATATTAATAATAATAATAATAATAATAATAAATATTAACTATATAATAATATAATGATATTAATACTAGTACTACTAAGAATAATAATAATAATAATAATAATAATAATTATTATTTTTTATTGCATATAGTAAAAAAAAAAATTAAGCAACAATCCACTGCTAATTATTGGTATTTACATGATAGGGAAAATTAAATATAAAAGTGTCTTATAGAAAACCACCCTCATTATAATTTATGCACAACCTTATTTCAATCTCATTTCAGATTAAACCATTGCTCTCAGAAAACAATCATGTCTTGTTTTGATCATGGGAAACGTGTGGTTGTGACAGGACGCAAGCTCAGATGTAGAGCACAGATAATGCAGCGAAAGGGCCTGATAAACACCAGAATGCGTGAGGCGTATTCACATGAAAGAACTCACCCTCGATCGCATAATCAATGCCGTTGTCGGTGGGTCTGTTCAAGGCTGGGTACATGTTGAAAAGATTGGCCACGAACGCCATGTTGAGCTTATGGTTTCCTGCAACCACGTCCTTGGGAGTGACAAACTGTCTGCAGTCCAGACGAGCCGCCTGCCTCAACATCAGCTCTGCTCGCATCTCATCATCACGCTCCTAAAACACAGTCATTAAATCAGAAGAACTGCTCTACATCGAAACCGTCTCATGAAGCTGTAAAGCAGAACGTTTTTTTTTTCCCAGAGGACTTCTGACATATGATTATTGGATGCTCTGTGCTACAATAAGAAGATAATATGTGGGCATAAATGTTCATTTTACTGCTTCATTCAGCATTCTGAGTCACTTTTGTTGGCATTAAAATTAATGGGTTTTGCCACTGATCTATAATAGACAACTGGATTGCTCATTATATCATGAAAAGCGGTCACCACCATATTGAAAAGCCATACTATGCTCGGGCATTCTTTGAAATTAATAGGAAATTGTATGATTTTAATGAGAAACACACTCACTTGGATTTAAAACACTCATGTGTACTTTCCTGTCTACACAAATGTCCTAAATATGAAAGGTTAAGATGTCAATAACATCATTGGAAGAGGTCGCTTTGAACTTTTTGTTCAGATACTGAATGTTCACTCGTACACATATAAAGATGTGTATCAAGACTAGAATTATAGTCACTGAATAAAAAAGTCTTGTGTATTTGTAGCCTTTTCTGATTTGGTTAATAGGGGTTTGCTAAAATTACGTATTTGTTTGTTTTAGTAAGTTACGTTAAGTAAATTCATATGATGGCAATAACATTTGAAGTTAACAACAAATTAATAAATGCAATTGTATTTGTATATATGGCCTGTTTTAAAAAGATACATTGCTTCCATCAAAAACTGTCAGACGGATTTGCTATGAGTACATTTTAGACCTACACTCACCGGACCCTTTATTAGGTACACCTTACTAGCACCGGGTTGGACTCTATTTTGACTTCAGCACTGCCCTAATCCTTCGTTGCATAGACTCAGCAAGGTACTGGAAATGTTTCTTAGAGATTTTAATCCATATTGACATGATAGCAGCACGCAGTTGCTGCAGATTTGTCAGCTGCACATCCTTGACGTGAATCTCCTGTTTCACCACATCCCAAAAGGGCTCTATTGGATTCAGTTCTGGTGACTTTGAGGGCCACTTGAGTACGGTGAACTCATTGTCATGTTCAAGAAACCAGACTAAAATGATGACATGGCGTGTTATCCTGCTGGAAGTAGCCATCAGAAGATGGGTACACCGTGGTCATAAAGTAATGGACATGGTCAGCAGCAATACTCAGGTAGGCTGTAGCATTGACACGATGCTTAATTGGTACTAATGTGCCCAAAGTGTGGCAAGAAAATATCCCCCACACCATTACACCACGACCACCAGCCTGAACCGTTGATACAAGGCAGGATAGATCCATGCTTTCATGTTGTTGACGCCAAATTCTAACCCTAACGAATATCTACCTTCAATAAATGAATAAACCACCTTGTTTTTTATGTTAAATATTTGGAAGACTGCAAAGCACTTATTATAAGAGATTCTTATTAAAGAGATAATTCGGCCAAAATTGAAATCTACTCACTAGAAAATCACTCTCCCAGGTTTCAAAATCAGTCACAAAAAGGAACTGCATGTGTGTTAATCTCAACAACTAGGCTGAGAGAAACCAAAAGTAAAACTAATCCATATATATATATATATATATATATATATATATATATATATATATATATATATATATATATATATATATATATATATATATATATATGTAGTAGAAGTCAGAATTATTAGTCCCCCTGAATTATTAGCTCCCTCTGTTTATTTTTTCCCCAATTTCTGTTTCACTGAGAGAAAATTTTTCAAGACACTTCTATAAAACTTAAAGTGATATTTAAAGGCTTAACTAGGTTTATTAGATTAATAGGCAGGTTAGGGGATCTTAAATTCATATTTTTAATAGGAAGCTATGCTATATTGTGCGTATACTGTACATTAGATTAGTCAATACTGAAGCCAAATCTGGAGCTTATCTAACAAAATAAGTTAAAGAAGCGGTCCGAAAACTAGTACACTCAAATTTATATGATATAGAAAAATATTAAATACAAATTAAAAAAATCAAAAGAAGCAAAATAAATTGAAAAATTTAGTTGAAATTTTGTAGGTTGTATTTTTTTTTTATATTTTGCTTGAATTTAATTGCACTATCTTTCAATTTCTAAATATGTTCGGTGACTAAAAAAATATATTTGAATAAATATGTCTGTTTAATAAATCTGTTTTGTTTAAATGCACCAAAATACATTGCCCATATTTACTTAGAAATTAATACAAATGTTTATTTCTAAAATGGGGTGTACTCAATTATGCTGAGCACTGTAAATCAAAAATTTTGGGGAGCCAAATGTTGCGTGATTATACAGTACCATGATAATGTGATGATATTCTTGTATCAAAAAGATGCTTTTCTATTGAGCTATTCAAACTAGTTGTAATCAATTGCCACATGACTAAGCAATGTCTTTCCTGTGACCTGTTTGTTAATCTTTACTCCATCGACCTGTGATAAAATGGGCCATTAAAATAGATATGAACTTAAGGACACGCTCCCCGAGCTGCTGCAGTTGAACAAAAGATGAACTTTAAAGTACAGAAAGCCGGTTTGAAAAGCAGTGTAGTACAGGCCAAAGAAAAGTGTTCAGGGAAATAATGGATGTCAAGCATGTGTTATCTTTGGTGTCTGAAAACAAAGAAAACTCTAATGGAAATCACAGCCGCTACAGAACTTCAACAAAATAAAAGAAGTTAAATGACAAGGAATTGTAAAGAAAATGAGACTCGGTGGAAAGTTGAATCATTGATTAAAAAGACATTCTACCCAAAAATGAAATTCTGTCATCGTTTACTCATTTTTCCACTTGTTACGAACCTGTTTAAGTTTCTTTCCTCTGTTGAACACCAAAGAGAATATTTTGGAGTATGTTGGAAAGCTGCAGCCATTGACTTGCATGGAATTTTTAGTTTGGATGTTAATAACTGGGCATAGATATATACATTAGATGTCGCCTGGCCTATTGTTGTCTATTGGACGGAATGCGTTAATAGCGCTGCCATCTTGGTACAGGGTAGTGCTCCTTTGAAATGAATGCGGGACCAAGGTACAGTGGAGGACTGTGGCCATCCAAAGCCAGAGATATACACATATATACATATATCTATGATCGGGAGTTTTCCTGGATTATAGTATGTTTTTTTTTTCTAATTACGAAAATTATAATTTTACATCACTTTGCTACATTGATGGATCAGTGACCGCACGGGCATTCCTGACAAAAAGCTTGTGTTTGTGTGTACAGAAATGTAATATCCACCCTCAATGTTAAATATGTCCTGAAGCACACCTCCTCTCCTGCTTTCACTTCTCATACTGACGGAGGGAGCGATTCGTTTGTGAATGAATCCCCCGAACGACTCTTTCACTAGCCGACAATAATACAAGTTTCTGGCAGCGCAGCGTCTCGTTGTCATATTTCTTTTGCATTGTTTGCTGATTTTATTCAACAAAACTAGCATAAGCCGAGTGTTTAGTGCGAGTTGGAGCTGCTTTGCCTTATGGTGAATGCAGTAAGTGACTGTTATCATCATTAACGTTACCTGATTAGCAAAAAAGTTCATAACATACAAAAACAGAAAAAAAATTAATATTACCTATGAAATGTTCTGCCTTTGTGCTTTGTTTTCTTTGTTTCCTTGTTACTACACCCGTAGACAGCGCTAAAGTCCAGCATCTTCACATAATAACACTGTCTTGTCTAGTGCGGTTGAATGACATTTGTCCTGGGAGCACTGTACTAATGTGGCGGAGCTATTGACGCATGCTCAGGGTCCCTATGCGATATCTAGTGTATATATCTATGATAACTGGGCGGCATAGTAGCTCAGTGGTTAGCATTGTCGCCTCACATCAAGAAGGTTGCTGGTTCGAGTGCTGGCAGAGCCAGTTGGTATTTCTGTGTGGAGTTTGCATGTTCCCTGTTGGCATGGGTTTCCTCCAGGTGCTCTGGTTTCCCCCACAGCCCAAAGACGTGTGCTAAAGGTGAATTGAATAAACTAAATTGGCTATAGTGTATAGCTGCATCCCAAATCACATACTTATGCACTATTCTATGCCATTTTGTAGTATAAATAGTGTAAGTAGTGCGTTCACACTGAAAACTCTAAAAATAATAAGTGCACTTTAATTACCAGGATGATGCACTCATTCAGCTGGTAAAATGAAGTGTGTAATGTTGGACCTGTGTGAAGCACACCTCAAAAATGCACATACAGGGGTGCTTTAGCGCTACTAATAAAAGAACACAGGCTCATTGTAAACACATGCCTAAGTCTATATGTTTTTGTGCAGCTGCAAATACATACACTCACAGGCCACTTTATTAGGTACACCTTACTAGTACCGGGTGAGACGCTCTTGTGCCTCCAGAACTGCCTTAATCCTTAAGATTCAACAAGTTTCTGGAAATATTCCTCAGAGATTTTGGTCCATATTGACATCATATTTGCATATTTGTCAGCTGCACATCCATGATGTGAATCTCCCGTTCCACCACAGGCCAAAGGTGCTCTATTGGATTGAGCTCTGGTGACTGTGGAGGCCATTTGAGTACAGTGAACTCATTGTCATGTTCAAGAAACCAGACTAAGATGATTTGCGCTTTATGACATGGCCACGTTGTCCTGCTACCATCAGAAGATGGTTACACTATGGTCATAAAGGGATGGACATAGTCAGCATTAATGCTCTCGTAGGCTGTAGTGTTGACACAATGCTCAGTTGGTACTAATGGGCCCAAAGTGAGCCAAGAAAATATCCCCCACACCATTACACCACCACCACCAGCCTGAACCGTCAATACTAGGCAGGATAGATCCATGCTTTAATGTTGTTGATGCCAAATTTCTTCTGCTGCTGTAGCCCATCCGCCTCAAGGTTTGATGTGTTGTGCGTTCAGAGATGCTCTTCTGCATACCTCAGTTGTAACAAGTGGTTATTTGAGTTATTGTTGCCTTTCTATTGGCCATCTATTAACCAGTCTGGCCATTCTCCTCCGACCTCTTGCATCAAAAAGGCATTTGTGCCCACAGAACTGCCGTTCACTGGATATTTTCACGGTCAAAGTCACTTAAATCACCTTTCTACCCCATTCTGATGCTCGGTTTGATCTGCAGCAGATCGTCTTGACCATGTCTACGTGCCTAAATGCATTGAGTTCCTGCCATTTGATTGGCTAATTAGACATTTGCGTTAACGAGCAGTTAGACAGGTGTAGCAAATAAAGTGGCCGGTGAGTTTAAATTTCATGTGACATCTTGTATCGTCCATTAAGAAAAAAACAAAGTAAAAAAAAAAAGCTGAGTGAAATGTGATCAGGATAAGTTACTGTATTTCCAAGGAACCACTGGATTGAGCCTGTTGGGCAATTTGCATTATGAATTTGCATTATTATATTGCATCCTGTTGTTTTTGCATTCACCAGCTGTCGGGTTAGTGGCTGGATCAGTCTCATCACAATGAAACAATACACTCCTTCACCAAATATAGAGTATTTTGGCTTCATTTTAAAGCATTTGGCTTCATTTTTATTACATTAAAAAAACAATCTAAGCATGTTGGGTCAAACATTTAACGCCACCAGCTTCTTCACACAAATCTCAGTCCTGAATTTGTTCATATATAAAACAGCACTGGGTTACCCCCAAAAAAAGAAGTGTTTTTAGAGGGTTGTATCTTTCATGTCTGTAACACAAATGACTTTCATTCATTCATTTTTCTTTGGTTTAGTCCCTTATTTATCAACCACAGCGGAATGAACCGCCAACTATTCAGGCGTATGTTTTATGCAGCGGATGCCCTTCCAGCTACAACCTAGTACTGGGAAACACCCATACACTTTCAGTCACACACAAACACTCATACCCTTTCGCCAATTTTGTTTACCCAATTCTCTTATAGCACTGTGTGGGAACTGAAGCACCCAGAGGAAACCCACACTAGGGAAGTACATGCAAACTTCACTCAAAAACATGACCCCATTCCTATATTAGTTTTGGCAAAAATGCTGATTATCGATGCAACTTTCCCTGAATCAGCTATATTACCAATTAAAATATTATTTATCTAGTTAACGTTGGTTTGTTTACAATAGCTTGTTGCATAGTGCACTTCAACTGACACACCAAAGCCATTTTAAATAAATTAATTTGTTCTGAAACAGGGATTAAAACTGTTACATTGTTGCTCTTTGTTCTTGGTGCGGTTTGCATTCATGCGTCCTTATTAAAGTTATGACAATAAGCAATAAGACAATAAGTTATGTGAAGACCGGGAGATTTGGTGGTGTTTGACCGGGTGCGCACGACGTGTCTGAAGAGCGAGGAGGGATGAGGTGGAGAGGTGTGAGAAGGGTGTGCTACGTATTTGAGGACCGGGAGGGAGACGCACGATTTCAGGGAGATTATCACTCGTTTGAGGGCATCAAGGAGTCTTTGTGCATTTGCGGGACGTCTGGAATGATCTCCCGCCCTACTCATAATTCTCCTTCATATAGCCATATGCCTATTACATATCCATAAAACACTGTGATTTAGCCGGGCTCGGATCGTATCGCTTTCTCACTATAATCAATCCGCTCCAGAGTTCGTTTCAATCAAGCTGAGACTAACTCATTCAGGCGATCTTGTCCCGATTGTTTTGGCGCGGATTCGAGCACGATCGCTGCATTCACATATGCCAAATGAACCGCGCAACTGGGCAAATGAGACAGGTTCCGAAACAAAATTCTAGGTGTGAAAGCACCCTAATTTTTATAGTGACATTTTGTTATTTATTTAGTTTAGCAAAGGGAAGCAGTGGCCCGGAAGACTGACTTATTTTTTATTCTTTTCCTGGGATCTATAGGTAAGATCTCTCCTGGAAGAATAGCTATAGTCAGGGAATTGTTTTGTTTAGCTGCCCTACCTGTTTACAGTTATTTGTTATTAATATTTTTATTTTTTTGCTTTTTTTTGTAAAGTTTGATTTAACGAAATTAAAAAGTATATATTGATGGGGATGTCAATCTGTCATATTTAGGCATCTGAGTCTTTCATATGTTCAGCTCAAAACATTGATTTCATTAATAGAGCCACTTTTGGATTTTTTTAACGCTAACATAGAATATATTTGAATTATTTGGAAGTAACTTGAGTTTGTCCCCTGTAGAAATGTGCCAAGCAAATGTGATCAGAACACAAAGGAGTCACAGGTAATGAAGTCTTAAGCATTTCTCCCAAAGAAAAGCCTATTTTTGTTTACCCCCGGTCGGTGCAATGACGTGCAAACAAAATGATGATGGTTGGCTATGCCCACTTGTTTCTGCGCTATTCAGAAACCTATGGGTGACACTGAAAAGTGTTGCATGCAGAACTGTTGCAAACAATTTATTTGTGTTAAATTTAAACAAACAAATTAAATTTAATAATGTTCAACTTAATTTGTTTGTTTAAATTCAGCCCAAATAAATTGTTTACAACCACTTAACGTAAAAAAATTTAGTAAATCCAAGGAATCATCTTTGAATATTTTTTTCCAGTGTACGCTATGGAGCTAATAATATGCCAAAACAATCTGAATTTCTGGTTTTGGAGTTTAGAATATTGAATTTGATGTTCTGATTTTTTTTTTTCATCTTGAAAACTTGAAGCTGTATTTCTACAAACTGAATATCTGCAGTCTATGAATTCTATAAATTCAGAACATAAAAATCTGAAGTTTGAAAAAGCGTTAAAAAAAATTCTGCCTTGAAAAATTCAGTTGTCTTTAGTTTTAGACGTTCAATATTCAAGTTATGAAATTAAAATTCAAAATAAGAAATTCAAATTCAAAACTTTTTAAAATTTTTTTTTTGATTTAGTCAATAATTAAAATTAACACAATTCAAATTCAGATTGTTTTGGCATATTATTAGCTCCATACTACACCCATGTGTGCGACGCAAAGGTATAATTCAGCTTTAACTGTGGCTCTAAAAGTACTTGTTTCCATTTTTATTCAGAAGGTGGTTTTGGACTAGAATGTACTAGCTTTTACACCATCATGGTGATACCACTTCTTCAGTCATTTAGCCATTCTACAGCTTGAGCCACGGCAGAAAACACAGCATAACAAAACCTTCTCAATGCAAATGTACAAAACCAAACTCGCTCTGTTTTTCAGGACTTGGCTTGTTTTCTTTTGTTCTCATATTTCCCTTCACTTTGTTTTGACAGCAATCAGTGTTGGGTATCATAAAGCCGTCGTCTTTCTTATCTGCTCTAAATCATGCTAATATGTGATAGAACAAACCCTGACACAGGAAGCCGATCAGCACGCTCACTTCCTGAGCAAAGAGGCAAAGGCTGTTGACCCAAGCATTCAGGCTGACTTACGGTGAGTCCTAACATGTCAATGTCAATCCTCATCTGGTCATCCAAGTCTCCTTTGGGTGAGATCTGATTAAGCAGGTGGAAATACGCCCTGGAGTCCTGAGAGAGGAAAAAAAGGGCTCTGTTTATGATTAATCTTAAGTGACAGGCAAAGACAGTTCAAAAGGATTTAATGTCAAACCAGACCAAAGGCTAAAGTATATGGTAAATATGTGTTCGTAACAGTGTTGTTTAAAGGTTCCATTTAGTTTTTTAGATTTTAGTATCAGTATTGTTTGTTTTAAAAATAACTATAAGCCAAAACAGTTACAAAACTTGCATTTAGAAAATATATAACTGATATAAACATGTAAAGCTTAAAGTTTGTCACTTCCCCCCAAAAAGGAATCAATGATTTTATTTACGTCAACCCATACGACAGTTTCTCAACAAATCATAACCAATCAAATGCTCTCTAGTATCTGACAAGCCCCACCCCCTTCAAGACGCTTCTCATTTGATTTTCATTTGATGCTCATGAACTCAACCACTGTCACTGGCAGAGCGGTGGTAAAACAAAATGCCATTGGCTGTTTTTTAAGTGGAGGAGCTACACTATACGTCCCACCCTCGATTCATGTTTTGCTTGAGATTACTTCAAACATTGAATAAAAGTGCACATTTCAAACCACTTTACATTTACATTTACATTTAGTCATTTAGCAGACGCTTTTATCCAAAGCGACTTACAAATGAAGACAAGGAAGCAATATACACAACTAAGAGCAACAATGAATAAATGCTATAGGCAAGTTTCAGGTCTGTAAAGTCTAAGAAGGGAAGTATTAGTAGTATTAGTATTTTATTTTATTTTTTTAAAATTTATTTATTTATTTTTTTGGGTACAGTTAGTGTGATATTCAGAGAGGCAATTGCAGATTAGGAAGTGAAGTGGAGACTAATTAGTTGAGTTTTTAGTCGTTTCTTGAAAGTAGCGAGTGACTCTGCTGTTCTGATGCAGTTAGGGAGTTCATTCCACCAACTGGGCAGATTGAGCGTTCGCGAACTATAGGTTCAGGGAACCAATAGTTAATGTTAGTTCATTTATATGAACTATGTATGAATTATATTGCACAGCATTTATTATTGATAGTTATTCAACGTAGGGCTGGGCGATATTGCAAAAATAATCATCATGATATCATGCTTCATATCATTCGATAACAATGATTATTGAATATTTTTAACAATACATTTAGGAATATTATGATTTTTTGTTATTTAAAGTCTTTATTTTAATTTACCAACATTAATAAGGAAAATAGTTTTAATAGTCAAAAACTAAACAAAAATTAAACAAAATATCTGATCTCTTTAGAATGAAATACACATGTTAAAGAGACTTTTAAACGTGATAAATACAATTTTGCAAAGTGTGTGCAATGGTATAGGTAGAGTGACATTCTTTTCTTGTGCATCAAGCACCCTGGGATGCACAAGAAAAGAAACCAAAAAGCCACTCTGGTGACATCCTTACATCGTTTTTTTATTTACAAGGTCCTCACTGCTGCTTTACGGCACTCATTTTCACATGTCTTGTTATTCTGACCTGAAGTGACAAGCGCGAGAATGTGGTTTCCTTTATAATTTTCTATATCGTCTCTCATAACTAGGCGACCATCAAGCGTTTTCTCAGAGGATGACAAACGAAAAACCATTGCTGCAGCTCTGATGCAAGTTTATGGAAAAAAGTAAAAAGCACTGCAGTGTTTGGATGTTCTGTGTTTGTCTGAGGTAATTAGTCTGCCGTTTTAACTGAAATGTGTTTATTCCATACAAAGTGTCATGCAGATTGGTTAGTTCTACTTGCACGAATCGCAGTGCGCATGCAGCATTCAGAGAAGTTCAAATGTTTTTTTAACTAGGTGTACCTGGAAAATGTATGGGCACACCATTGTGCAAGTCATGCGGCTTCATTGGAACTGACAAACTTACAAAAAAAAAGCTTACTGGCATTTCTTCTAAGGCGTACACTCAGCCACATTTTAATAAATCTACAACGATTCATACCGAAACTTCCTACCGAATTAGTTTTTATCATTATTGACAATGGTGTTCGGTCAATAAATATCGATACTGATTTTATCGCTCAGCCCTACAACATTTACTGATGCAATTTAGAATCCAAGGTTGCTCATGTTAACATTAGCTTATGCACAGTTACCTAGAACTAACAAAGAACAACTTTATTCTGATTAACTTAATGCTAACGAAGATGAATAAATGCTGTAATATATATGTATTGTTCTTTTTTTTTCTAACTACATTAACTAATTGACCATTATTTTAAAGTGTTACCAGATGTTTTGAAAACATAAAAAAATATGTCTTTAAATTAGATGTAATTAAAATGACAAAAATATCTATGAGAAAATAAATCTGCAATTAAAATTTAGGAAATATATTTTCGCCAATGCACAATGTATTATTTTAAATATATTTTAGGGTGTCACGGTGGCGCAATGGGTAGCATGATTGCCTCATAGCAAGAAGGTCACTGGTTCAAGCCCTGGCTGGGCTAGTTGGCATTTCTGGATTCACACTCATACACTATAGTCAATTTACTTAATCTAATTCACCTATAGCACATGTTTGTATGAACTGTGGAACCCAGAGGAAATCCACACGAATACGGGAAGAACATGCAAACTCCACACAAAAACGCAGGGACTCGAACCAGCGACCTTCTTGCTGTGAGGCAACAGTGCCAAGCGCTAATCCACCATGCCACCTGAATGCAGCTTCATTGTCATTTTTAACATCAGAAGATATTATTAATCTAATAATTTATATTTCAAAGATAGCTGTAATGATATCTGCTCCTAAACACACATTTCTTACCATTATATGAATGACTACAAGGTTGAAAACTTGCAGCCTTGTTTGCTTCTATCATTGGCTATCAGTCTTTTTTGTAATTTCTTAGTAGAATATATATATATATATATATATATATATATATATATATATATATATATATATATATATATATATATATATATATATATATATATATATATATATACACTGTACTGAACACTTCACCACTCAGAAAACATATTTCTAATGATGCTGTTGAATTAAAAGTGTCACCAGATGTTGGTAACAACCAAATCAAATATGTAAGGAAAATAATATTAATTAGTTTTCAAATGAAGTTATGTGTAATAAAATGAAATGACACAGGAACACATGAAGAAAGGGAGGTGTAGAAAGGCAGTGAAAGCCAAGACAGCAGCTGAAATCTCTCAGTAGTTCTTCAGCAACTATCTGCCCTTCCTCAGTATAAATGAATATCAGCTGCTTCAGTCCAACATCTACATTAGCAGAATGATGAAGATGAAACCAAGGTGAACATTTCAGAAAATGATCCAAAACACAGCCAAGGAAACTCTCAAATGCTTTCAGAGAAAGACAACCAAGTTGTAGAATGGCCTAGCCAATCACCTGACATGAATCCAATAGAAAATGCATATTAAATATCAGATTTGATAGACGAGACCCACAGAACCATCAAGACTTGTACACTCTGTTAAAGTCTGTGAAAAACACACGTCTGAGCAATGCATGTGACTTCATTCTCCAAATGAGAGGCGTGTTTAAGCAGCCATAACCAAAAAAGCCTTTGATATAATTTATTTAACACGTTTCAGTTGTTCAGAACTTTCTCCTTGGTCATTCTATTGTTATTACACAACTCAGATTTACCAGTTTTGTTTTATTTTTATGTTCTTATTGTTTGGGTATTTACCGAAATCTAGTTCGATTCCATGTCAACAGCTCCTTTTTAAATATTATTCCCAGGAAAAAACATGACGTGCTCAATACTGAATACAGAGATCGATATTTATGTCTCATGTAAACTCCAGTCAATCATTAATGTCAATTATGCACATCAACTGATAACCATGACTGATAAGCAAGCTACCTTGATATCTTCACTGAAGTTTCTGATCTGTTTCCATCCAGCAGCTTTGAGGTGATAGTTGACCCACCGAAGCAAAAGGTCCTCAGGGGACATTGACATAAGGTGGTCCAGCTCTTCTGACTCATCCAGCAAAGCAATTAGCGCTACACACACACACACACATAAAAACACAGACACGTGTTATTGTAATGCTTTTAAGAGGTGTAAATCAGTCACTCAGGAACAGGTGTGCTTTTACTTATTTATGGCAGCAATTACAGCCTCCATTTGGATAGCACTGTGATTACAAGAAAATCAATTTAGGCTATCAGAGCAAAGTAATGACCTTCGTTGCGAGAGATCTCAATGTCAGCGAAGAGGCCGATTTTTATGATTTGCCACAAGAGGCCGAGCACAAGGTGAGGGGTCCCGGCTTTCATGTCCTGCGCGTCGATGTTGACCACCGTACAGCCGATCGCAGAAGCAGAGTTGAGCGCCAACATCAAATTCTCCTGCATTAGTAGAGAAACACAATCAACTATTATTCAACTAATCAACTAAATTATTAGCCCTCCTGAAAATTGGCATTTATATCCACAGCGCAACTTAGGGTGCTTTCACATCTGTAGTTTGCTTCATTTGGTCCGGACCAAGCGCAATAAATGATACATTGTTGCATCTTCTGCCGTCTTTGGGTCGTTTTCACACCACACTGATGGCTTTGGTCCGAACCAGTTGAAACGAACCAAAATGCAGTCATCTGACAAAATCCACATCTCTCATTGGCCAGATGTTGTTGAACATATTTCCTAAACTGCATATTGATTGGTCAGAATTTACGTGCGGGAAAATGCCAGTGAACTCCCGCAGGTAAACAAAACCTTTTACTCTGGAGGGACGACTGCGCTGACTGATTGTAAGCCTGCTTTAGATAAACTATACATTACGAAAAATGAAGCACCGTCGCGGCTGGAAAACAGTGTTTAATGCATCGCTCGTCACTTCAGGAGGAGCCGTGAATTAATTTAGCTAAACTGCAACATGGTTATCTTGCGGAAATATTACCAACGATCCATCAGGTAATGTTGTCCTCCCTCTCTGTTGGTAAAGCGCTGTCAACAAATATTTTTCCTCCATATCCCATAATGCACAGCGCATCGGCGTACGGCAGCTGAATTAGTCCAAAACGCGCAGTACTTTTTGCGGTTGGACCTGTTTTAGTACGTATCATCTTCTCACCCCAAACGAACCGCTCCAGGGTTTGTTTGAAAGCGTACCGAGACCACCTCTTTAAGCAGGTCTTGGTACGCTTATTTGGTCCGCTTTTGGTGTGCACTCGAGTACGACTGCTGCATTCTCACCTGCCCAAACGAACCGTACCAAAAGGGGAAACGAACTCTAGTGCGATTCAATCGAACTAAATAAGGCAGGTGTGAAAGCACCCTGAATTATGAATAAGTCTCACGTTATACTATTAAAGGTATTATTAAATGTCCTGTGAATTTCGTTTTCTTTTTTAAAATATTTCCCAAATGATATTTAACAAGGCAAGAAACTTTTCACAGTATTTCCTATAATATTTTTTCTTCCTAAGAAAGCCTTGCTTCTTTTATTACAGCTAGTATAAAAGCAGCTTTTAAAACCATTTTTAGGTCAATATCATTAGCCCTTTCAAGCAATAATTTGTTTTCGATTGTCTACAATATTTTTTTTTAATTGTTGCAAATTTATTAAAAATAGAAAACCTGAAAAATCACATGTACTTAAATATTCACAGCCTTTACCGTGAATATTAAATTGAGTTCAGGTACATTCTGTTTCCACTGATCATTCTTGAGATGTTTCAGCAGCTTCATTGGAGTTCACCTGTGGTAAATTCAGTTGATTGGACATGATTTGAAAAGGCATACACCTGTCTATATAAGGACCCAGGGTTGACAGTGCATGTCAAAGCACAAACCAAGCATGAAGACAAAGAAATTGTCTGTAGACCTCACAGACAGGATTGTCTTGAGGCACAAGGCTGGGGAAGATTACAGAAAAATTTCTGCTGCTCTGAAAGTTCCAATGAGCACAGTGGCCTCCATCATCCGTAAGTGGAAGATGTTTGGAACCACCAGGACTATTCCTAGAGCTGGCCGGCCAAGCTGAGTGATTGGGGGAGAAGGGCCTTAGACAGGGAGGTGATCAATCAGGGAGCCTCTCTTTCTGAGCTCCTGCGTTTTTTTTTTAAGAGAGAGGAGAACCTTACAGAAGGACAACCATCTGAGCAGCAATCTACGAATCAGGCCTGTATGGAAGAGTGGTCAGACGGAAGCCACTCTCCACCTGGAATTTGTCAAAAGGCATCTGAATGACTCTCAGACCATAAGAACAGAATTCTCTAGTCTGATGAGACTAAAATTGAACTCTTTGGAGTGAATGCCAGGTGGTACGTTTGGAGAAAACCAGGCACCGCTCATCACCTGGCTAATACCATCCCTACAGTGAAGCATGGTGGTGGCAGCATCATGCTGTGGGGATGTTTTTCAGCAGCAGGAACTGGAAGACTAGTCAGGATAGAGGGAAAGATGAATGCAGCAAAGTACAGAAACATCCTGAATCCAAATCTGCTTCTGAGTGCTCTTGACCTCTGACTGGGGTGACGACTTATCTTCCAGCAGGACAATGACTTAAAGCATGTCGCCAAAATAGCAATGGAGTGGCTTCACAACAACTCGGTGAATGTCCTTGAGTGACCCAGCCAGAGCCCAGACCTAAATCCTATTGAACATCTCTGGAGAGATCTGAAAATGGCTGCACACCGTTGCTTCCCATCAAACCTGATAGAGCTTGAGCAAAGAGGAATGGGCAAATATTCCCAAAGACACGCGTGTTAAGCTTGTGGCATCATATTCAAAAAGACTTGAGGCTGTAATTGGTAAAGGTGCATCAACAAAGTATTGAGCAAATGCTGTGAATAATGATGGTCATGTGATTTTTTAGTTTTATATATATATATATATATATATATATATATATATATATATATATATATATATATATATATATATATATATATATATATATACATTTGGCAACAATCTAAAAAAAATCTTTTTTCACATTGTCTTTGTGGTATTGTGTGTAGAATTTTAAGGGAAATACCTAAATTTAATCCATTTGAGAATAAGGCTGTAACATAAAAAATTTGCAATAAGTGAAGCGCTATCAATACTTTCCGGAGGCACTGTATGCTTGTATGTATATATATATATATATATTTTTTTTTTTTTTAAATATAAATATTTATTGTTTTTAAAAATAAATTATTTCAAACTTATTGAACTATGACAAATATATGTAATTCTGGAAAAAAAATGCTAATACACACAATATCGGAGATATCTGTACAAATTTTGTCTTTATTTACAGTAATTGCATTCATTTAACCACTTTAAACATTTTTTTAACCTTAAGGTGTTAATGCCTATAGATAACAACAACTAATTAGAATATGTTGGCGCCAGTAGCCTTTCAGTTAGCGTGACGACATATAGCACTAAACTGCTTGCGGTGACTCAAGTTCAAGTTAGCGTGTTTATGTGAAATCAAAATTTACATGTTAATTTTGCTGCCGCTCATTGCTATTTACTTGTTTTGCCGTTTGTTATAGTAAGGATTTTTTCCCCGAATGAGCCTGTAATGCCCTTTTTTATTTATCACGGAAATTCCACTTTTTTCAGTGAAAATCAGGGAAAAGTTAGAAAGTTTAGCTTAGAGTAGGAACCTTAAATGTACTTTTGTCTAGTGCCACACATATATATATATATATATATATATATATATATATATATATATATATATATATATATATATATATATACAGTTGAAGTCAGAATTATTAGCCCCCTTTTGATTTTATTTTATTTTTTTAAATATTTCCCAAATTTTCACAGTATGTCTGATAATATTTTTTCTTCTGGAAAATGTCTTAATTGTTTTATTTCGGCTAGCATAAAAGCAGTTATAATTTTTTTTTCGATAATCTACAGAACAAACCATTTTTTAACAATAACTTGCCTAATTACCCTAACCTGCCTAGTTCACCTTATTAACCTAGTTAATATATATATATATATATATATATATATATATATATATATATATATATATATATATATATATATATATATATATATATATATATATATATATTCTTTTTTTTTTTAACACATTGCTAAACATAATATTTTTAATAACTCATCTCCAATAACTGATTTATTTTATCTTTGCCATGATGACATTAAATAATATTTTACCTGATATTTATTTAAAGATACTAGTATTCAGCTAAAAGTGACATTTAAAGGCTTAACTAGGTTAATTAGGCTGCTTAGGGTAATTAGGCAAGTTATTGTATAATGATGGTTTGTTCTGTAGACAATCAAAACAACTTATTGCTTTAAAGGGCTAATGATTTTCACCGAAAATGGTTTTAAAAGCTGCTTTTATTCTAGCCGAAATTAAACAAATAAGAATTTCTCCAGATGAAAAAAATTCAGGAAATACTGTGAAAAATTCCTTGCTCTGTTAAACATCATTTGCGAAATATTTGAAAAGGAAAACAAAATTCACAGGGCATTTAATAATACCTTCAATAGTATAATGTAAGAATTAATCATTAATTAAGTTGAGCTGTAGATTTAAATGCCAATTTACTTTTTAGTTTATTATTATTATTTTTTAATTATTTTGATTTATAGATCCCATGAAGTAGACCTCTATGATTTAAAAAGTAAAAGTGCTTACAGTCATTGTGAATGGAGTGCATTTCTTGTTGATGACCCGCTCATCGATGGTGTCTGGCTGTGACAGGTTAATCATTTTACTGTAAAGAGAGACGCCAAAGCGAAAATTAAACATGAAAAAAAATGATACCCCAGCATATTTAACGGCATGACAAACAGAGAGCAGCCCAGAGTAAACCACAGTTAATGGTATATTACCACAGCAAAATTCCATCTTTCACAGATTTGAATAAACTGTCAGTCCCAGGGTCCATCGGGATCAGATGTTTGCAGTCGGGATCGTTTGCCAAAGCTTTATTGACCCAGTTCACAAAGGCCACCTTTTCTTCATCTGAGAGGAGATGGAAAAACAAAACATTAGCAGAATGACATTTGGTCCATCTGTGTCAGGGGTCATTAATAGACACATCTCTTTTCAAACTGTTCACACTCTTCAGAATTACAGCACAAAAAGCTTACATGTCATTTTGTTTTAGCTTTTCCAATTAGATCTACAGACCATCCGGAAATTGTTAATAGTGCTTTACTTTTACTTTTAATAGTGCTTTACTTTACTTCCCACATTTTTTTATGCTACAGCCTTATACCAAAATGGATTTAATTTATTTATTTCCTCAAAATTCTACACACAATACCCCATAATGAAAATGTGAAAAAAGATTTTTTGAAAATGTTTTTTGGTCTAACAGGGTTGAGCTTATTCTCTTAATGAATTATGTGTTTTGAGAATGAAACAATCAGAGTCTCATCTTCCATTACCTTTAAGAGTCAGTTGCGTCCGTGCCATGGCGCATTAGCTATTCACTTGGCGGACTTTGTAAGTGAAAAAACTAAATCTAAGCGCTTCTTTAGAGAGAAAACAGTTAAACAGAGCATCTGCAGCGCGAGGATAAAGAACGAGCCTCCTTCAATCGGCCTTTACTTTCACTTTTTTTTCTCTCTTTAATGGATAAGGAAACGGTGATGTATACATGAAGACATATATTAGCTTACATATTTAATTTGTTTGTTAAGCGTAAATATTTGTTTCTAAATGCAGTTCTAATTTCCAGCAAACAAATAAATGAACAAAAATAATAATAGTATGGTCAAAAACTAAGTTATATCCAAACATGTTCTATGCCCTATATGGTCCAAAACCCGACAGGTGGACAAATCTAAGCTTGTTTTTAATAAAACAAATATAAATATGCATATACTAAATATAAATAATAATAATAATAATAACAAAATTATACAAAAGCAAATTGTCATGAATAAACTACTAAAAGCCCCCCGAGATGAAGAAGACATGCAGGCAGTGAATTTTATATTTATATTTTATTATATTCATTTAATAATTTTTGTAAAATTTTAATCTTTTAATTCTTTTTCATTTGTAAAACAATTGCGTATTGCTCTACATACTGTGTGTATTAATCAATGTGTACAGCTTTAAGGCGCATAAATAACACGCTCTGCGCTGGACTTTAAACCTGCTTTCAGCTGGTCTTTCAATTGGGCAGTTTATTTTAGTTTCTCAAAATTGTAACGCACCAACAATGCGCCTTAACACACCTCTTTTCTAGATCAGCACACTCATAAGTCCACAAAGTGGCGCTAATAGATTTTCTTTTTAAACAGTGTGGCGCAAAATGGGAAAATTAGGGTTGCGCTGGTCTGAAAAAATAGCAACACATTGTTGCAAACAAGTCTTGCGCATTACTTTAAGCTTTTACTGATTACTTTAAAATTAAGTGAACTTAACCTTTTTTTTTTTTTTACAGTGCAAGTTTACTGGAAAAAAGTTCTCAACTCAAAATTGTAAGGCAAGTTGCTGCAGAGCTTTTTTGAGTTGACTCAACTTTTAAACCAAGTACTTGACTCAATTTAAGTTGATTAAACTCGAAAATATCCTAAAGCTGAATGCCTTTATTTTTAAAGTTGAGTTTTTCACAGTGTAAATGCTAAAATGAAGAAATCAAAATTTTAAACATCCTCAGCTGAATTCTTAACTTCCATAGAACAAACCTAAACATGCAGTTAAGTAGTTTTTATGAGTAAACTAAACACTGAGCTCGAAAATGTCCGATTACAATTTTGAACTGAGTTGACAATTTGTAAGTTGGATTTTTTTTACAGTGTACAGTTTAACAAAGTGACTTATACTGGCATTTTAGTTGTTTGAAATAATATAACGCATAATATAATAAATATTATAATGTTTATTATATAATAAGAAACATTGTTTAATATTTAGTAGAAATATTTAGAGAAATAGGTCTGTAAAATAACAGAAAATATAGCTGCAGTTCATTAGAAGGCTTTTGTACTATAATATACAACACCAACGCAGACAATATATCACTTTAAACTATTAAAAGTGTTAATAAAAGTCACTTTGACTAAATTATTGGTGTCAAAAGTTGCAAAAAAGCAGAAAAAAACGGAAAGAAATCACATAATTTGGAAAATTGCTATTAATATAATGTTTTTTAACAGTGTACTTCATAGTGAAATACAATGGAAGCAGTTGTTTAGCTTAATAACATTTCCTCCACACTAAAAGCCCATCCACATCAAGAGCAATAACATGGTCTCGTAATTATCGTAATTACAGGATTCACAATAAACAAGTATATACATCCTCCTACAACTCGTAATTACAACTACACACTTGGAATTTTAGGTATGTTCACGACATATTGGAATTACCATAATTACAAGACTCCAGCTTGTTATATGATTTGTCAAACTCATAATTACAAATTTTTAACAGTTTTAGTTTTCTGACAGCTTGTACCACATGGAACTGTGCACCTCACATGGAACCAGAGAAAAAAAATATTTGAGCATTTCTTTAATTATATTTATGTTTAAAAAAAAAATAATAAAATAAATATATATATATATTATATATTTGAGTGAGATGCTAATAGTCACAAATAAACACAAAGACTGGCTGAATGAATTCAAAAAGGATCAATCTAAACTGTTTAATTTACGCTAAAATGAGCCTATTTTCATAAACAACGTGGAGTGTGGCTTTAAAAATATAGGATTTGCAAACCACCTGAGTAGGACCTCTTCTGTCATTTTTGAGTGAGTGCTAATGGTCTAATCTGATTCAGTGATTTATGCTAAGCTAAGCTAAAAGTTCTCACTACAGATACAGAACCCAGCTGAATGGATTAAAAATATTTATGCTAAACTGCTTATTTTACTCTAAAATTATCCTATTTTCAAAAAAAGTGGAGTGTGGCTTTAAGAATATAGGATTTGTATAACACCATCTGAGTAAGACCTCTTTGGTCATTTTTGAGTGAGATGCTGATTCAATGATTTGTGCTAAGCTAATCTAAGCTAAATGCGATCACTCCAGACAGAAAGACTAGTTGAATGAATTCAAACACTGTAAAAACTAAACTGTTTAATTTACTCTAAAATGAGCCCATTTTCAAAAAAAAAAAAAAATAATAATAAATATATATATAAATATATATATAGCTTTAAGAATATAGGATTTGTATGGCACCACCTGACTAGGAACTCTTTGGTCATTTTTGAGCAAGATGCTAATGGTCTTATTCAATCTAATTCAATGATTAATGCTAAGCTAGGCTAAAAGTACTCACTCCAGACACAAAGACCGGCTGAATGGATTCATACATGGTAAAAACTTAACTGTTTAATGTACTCTAAAAAAGCTATTTTCAAAAAAAAAAAAAAAAAAAAGTGTAATGTGGCTTTAAGAATATAGGACTTGTACAACACCACCTGAGTAGGATCGCTTTGGTCATTTTTGAGTAGGATGCTAATGGTCTAATCCGATTCAATGATTTATGCTAAGCTAAGAGCTAAATGTGCTCACTATTTTTTTGAAGGGATTAAAAAAAAAACAGTAAAACTAAACTGATTAATTTACTGTTTAATGAGCCTATTTTTAAAAATGTGGAGTGTTCCTTTAAGAATATAGGATTTGTTTAACACCACCTGAGTAAGACCTCTTTGGTCATTTTTAGGTGAGATGCTAAATGTCTAAATCAATGATTTATGCTAAGCTAACCTAAAAGTGCTTGCTACAACCACAAAGAAAGACTGAATGGATCCAAAAATGGTCAAACTAAACTGCTTAATTTACTCTAAAATGAGCCTGTGTTAAAAAAAATGTGGAGTGTTGCTTTAAGAATATAGGATTTGTATTACACCACTTAAGTAGGATCTCTTTGGACATTTTTAAGCGAGATGCTAATGGTCTAATCTAATTCAATGATTAATGCTAAGCTGAAAGTGCTCACCCTAGACACAAAGACCGGCTGAATGGATTCATACAATGAAAAAAGTGTTGCATGCAAAACTGTTGCAAACAATTTATTTGTGTTGAATTTAAACAAACAAATTAAGTTTGATAATGTTCAACTTAATTTGTTTGTTTAAATTCAGCCCAAATAAATTGTTTACAACCACTTAACGTAAAAAATTGAGTAAATCCAGGGAATCATCTTTGAATAATTTTTTTCAGTGTACATGGTAAAAACTAAACTGTTTAATTTACTCTAAAATGAGGCTTTTTTTTTTTTTAAATGAGTGTGGCTTTAAGAAAATAGAATTTGTACAACACCACCTGAGTAGGATCGCTTTGGTCATTTTTGAGTAGGATGCTAATGGTCTAATCCGATTCAATGATTTATGCTAAGCTAAGCTAAATGTGCTCACTATTTTTTTGAAGGGATTAAAAAAACAGTAAAACTAAACTGATTAATTTACTGTTTAATGAGCCTATTTTTAAAAATGTGGAGTGTTCCTTTAAGAATATAGGATTTGTTTAACACCACCTGAGTAAGACCTCTTTGGTCATTTTTAAGTGAGATGCTAAATGTCTAAATCAATGATTTATGCTAAGCTAACCTAAAAGTGCTTGCTACAACCACAAAGAAAGACTGAATGGATCCAAAAATGGTCAAACTAAACTGCTTAATTTACTCTAAAATGAGCCTGTGTTAAAAAAAATGTGGAGTGTTGCTTTAAGAATATAGGATTTGTATTACACCACTTAAGTAGGATCTCTTTGGACATTTTTAAGCGAGATGCTAATGGTCTAATCTAATTCAATGATTAATGCTAAGCTGAAAGTGCTCACCCTAGACACAAAGACCGGCTGAATGGATTCATACAATGAAAAAAGTGTTGCATGCAAAACTGTTGCAAACAATTTATTTGTGTTGAATTTAAACAAACAAATTAAGTTTGATAATGTTCAACTTAATTTGTTTGTTTAAATTCAGCCCAAATAAATTGTTTACAACCACTTAACGTAAAAAATTGAGTAAATCCAGGGAATCATCTTTGAATAATTTTTTTCAGTGTACATGGTAAAAACTAAACTGTTTAATTTACTCTAAAATGAGGCTTTTTTTTTTTTTAAATGAGTGTGGCTTTAAGAAAATAGAATTTGTACAACACCACCTGAGTAGGATCGCTTTGGTCATTTTTGAGTAGGATGCTAATGGTCTAATCCGATTCAATGATTTATGCTAAGCTAAGCTAAATGTGCTCACTATTTTTTTGAAGGGATTAAAAAAACAGTAAAACTAAACTGATTAATTTACTGTTTAATGAGCCTATTTTTAAAAATGTGGAGTGTTCCTTTAAGAATATAGGATTTGTTTAACACCACCTGAGTAAGACCTCTTTGGTCATTTTTAAGTGAGATGCTAAATGTCTAAATCAATGATTTATGCTAAGCTAACCTAAAAGTGCTTGCTACAACCACAAAGAAAGACTGAATGGATCCAAAAATGGTCAAACTAAACTGCTTAATTTACTCTAAAATGAGCCTGTGTTAAAAAAAATGTGGAGTGTTGCTTTAAGAATATAGGATTTGTATTACACCACTTAAGTAGGATCTCTTTGGACATTTTTAAGCGAGATGCTAATGGTCTAATCTAATTCAATGATTAATGCTAAGCTGAAAGTGCTCACCCTAGACACAAAGACCGGCTGAATGGATTCATACAATGAAAAAAGTGTTGCATGCAAAACTGTTGCAAACAATTTATTTGTGTTGAATTTAAACAAACAAATTAAGTTTGATAATGTTCAACTTAATTTGTTTGTTTAAATTCAGCCCAAATAAATTGTTTACAACCACTTAACGTAAAAAATTGAGTAAATCCAGGGAATCATCTTTGAATAATTTTTTTCAGTGTACATGGTAAAAACTAAACTGTTTAATTTACTCTAAAATGAGGCTTTTTTTTTTTTTAAATGAGTGTGGCTTTAAGAAAATAGAATTTGTACAACACCACCTGAGTAGGATCGCTTTGGTCATTTTTGAGTAGGATGCTAATGGTCTAATCCGATTCAATGATTTATGCTAAGCTAAGCTAAATGTGCTCACTATTTTTTTGAAGGGATTAAAAAAACAGTAAAACTAAACTGATTAATTTACTGTTTAATGAGCCTATTTTTAAAAATGTGGAGTGTTCCTTTAAGAATATAGGATTTGTTTAACACCACCTGAGTAAGACCTCTTTGGTCATTTTTAAGTGAGATGCTAAATGTCTAAATCAATGATTTATGCTAAGTTAACCTAAAAGTGCTTGCTACAACCACAAAGAAAGACTGAATGGATTTTAAAAAAATGTTTTTAATTTACTCTAAAATGAGCCTATGTTCAAAAAAATAGTGGAGTGTTCCTTTAAGAATATAGGATTTGACCATGCAAGAACATCCTTAAAATGTTCATTACCCTGTTGTTTTTGCCAGATATTTTAAGTTACAGTATTAGATTTTATATACATCATATATGTTGTCAGTATTACATTACATATATACTTATATAAAAAGAATATAAGACTTGTATAACACCACCTGAGTAGGAATGCTGCGTTCCTTCACTCGAGATACCTGATGTCCCACCAAACGACCGAATCCCATCCCGCCTGGAGATACACTTGCGGAATGTTTCTCTCACTTCTTTACTTCTCAGCTCTTGGGATATCTGAAGACATTATTGAAATCAGAACACGCGATCAGCAGCTGAGACATTCTCTGACCAATAACACAACACTCATAGTCAGGCTTACGGCAACAAACTCTTCGAAACTGATCTTCTCATCTTTGTTGGTGTCACCGGCAATGAACTTCTCTACAATCTCCCGTATCTGGTATCCCGGGAGGTGAAAGCTGGCTTCACGAAAGAGCTCTTGAAGCTCAAAATCACTCACGTAGCCACTGTTATCGATATCTAGAATGAAGTACAGTGTCAATATTGCATTTTAGAGCAGCTGAATCCATCACTGCAGCAAACCGTTGACAAAATACATTGGTTTTCCACTTAAAACACTAACTAAACACTGCTAAAACCAGCGTGACAATGATCATCCATAAAATAAAAAAAGAAACATTTACATGAAGTCAGTTATTGTAATCTTTGGTAATGTTTGACGGACTCAGTCATGTGATTCCAAACCTTTGATATTTTTCAATGCACAATGACTTGAACTGACCAATCTTGTTGAAAGCTTCTCTCAGGTCCTCCAGATCTTCTCGAGAGATCTGCGTGACTTTGTTCTCCATGCTGGTCTCCTCGAAGCACTTCACACCATGCAAAAAGGGTCCTGCCAAACAGGTTCAGAGAGAGTTTGAGCACTATATATCCAGTTTGTCCACCCTTATATCTTAGTGATAAGCAAATCCTCAGTGGACACAGCTGGTAAAAACACAAATGCTAAAAATGCAGTTATATGAGTTGCTGGCACACTGACTGTACTGTTCAAAAGCTTGAGGCTGGTAAGACTTTATTATTTTGTCAACTTTATTGAGATAAAAGAGATATATTTGATTGAAATACTGTATTGTGAATGGTTATGACGGTTTAAAATAATGGCTTTCTCTTTTAATGTAGTTTAAACAGTAGTTTATACGTTCCAATCTTTAATTTCACATGGTCCATACGACACAACTGCACAAAGTTCCTAATCTCAGACTGATATTACATTATATCCTTAATTCTCCTCAGCAGACTTAATATTACAGTGTCATCAGAGTGTTTGATAATGTTATTGGTCTCATAAAGACTAAATCAATCATCTGTGTATAAGTAAACAGGATAGGAGAGAATACAAAACCCTGAGGGGCATCTATACTAGTTAATTTAACATGGTCACATGGTCATTATACTAAAATTGCACTTTATTTTATAGAATGTGCTGTTAAAGTGTACAGACAGTACTGTTAATATAGAGCAAGTACATGGAATATTGTTAGGATTGGTTGTAAGTTCAGGGTTAGTAATTACCCAGATGTTATTGTAATTATTACAATAAGTATATAGTAGTACTTGTGGTACTGGACAGCAAATTAAAGTGCTTCAACTTTTGGAAAAAATTGCTGTTCAATAATGTTTGCAAAAACAATTTTTAAAGTTTAACATTAATTAACATTAATTTAGAACAGACACTTTTAAAACTTTTGTAACAAATATAAGTATTCACTGCCACTTTTGGTCAATTTCATGCACTCTAATTGCATAAAATTGTTAATTTCTTTAAAAAAACACTTTTTAAAATATTTAAATAACTAATTTTACAGTTTTTTAAAGTTCCCATGAACCAGCCTTTTTCTTGTGATGCAGTTTCTACAGAAACGAAATTTTAAATAAGAAAACAGCGGGCGTGGCCTGTTTTTTTTACTGCAAGTTGATTGGATGCAGAAACGTAGGCATTTTATTCAGAAAGATAGGACAACAGATACCTCATGCACACTATTTCTATTTGTTGTCAAATCTGACAGTTGGAGGGACGTGGTTATGTATGTTAGCCACGCCCAATTCCAAAAATGTACATAATCTAACAATTTAACTGAAAACAAACAGGAAGTGCATTTTCAAATTTCAATTAAAGATTAGAAGGGGCTTTTTTTTTTTTAAAGACACGAACAGATGAATTGTTCATCACAAAACTATTGTGAGCTAACAATTTCATATGGTTAGTTTTGATTTCTTAAGGATTTTAATTACCCTTTAGTTGATTCCAAAAAAAAATTTGCTTGAGTGACATCTGTGGGAATGTAAACATAGTATTGATCCCATGACCAATACCAGGTTGGGAACAATGCAATCTCATGGCAACTTTGATTTACTGGCTAAGTCATATTAATTTTTTAAATCTCATTTAGTAATATTTGCTCATCCTCCAATGAGGGGTGAGGTTAGGGGAGGGATTTGGGGGCATGTTTCCTTTAAAAAATCATATATTTTCATACTAATTAAATTGTATGAATTATCTACTTTTCTGATAACACGTAAAAGAGATTAAGATTGAACCAAGTAGCATTGACGCGATCAGCCTCGTAACAAGCACAGTGTGAACAGAAGCCAGAACCAATATTGTAAATAAACCTTTTTCATTCAATGGCTGACCAGCTGCCACATTGATAAATCACTTCCGCTTTTCTTCTTATCCTATACTTCCTGTTTTTGGCGGCCTTGCATTTTTGCCTCATTGTAGGCCACAACCCAAATGTCACATGTCTTTATGGGATCTTTATGGGTTGTGTGTAAAAGCAAACACAGAATCTTAACTTTTGGATTAGGGTGGGGCCAATAGGATCTCTCACTCTGATCCCTCGGGCTCTGCAAGGGTTGGGGAAATTCTAAATTGAACCAAAACAAATGATTACAATTGGCCTAAGATTGGCATAGAAAATTAGGCAATTTTAGTATAATTTGCTCATTCCCCATAGTTTAGTGGTGGGATTTGGACTTTTTTTAAAATTACCATACAAATCATATTACTTTTTCGGCCAACATGTAAAATAGTTTTATTTCCTCTTGAGATTAGGCTAAACCTAAATCAAATTGATCCCAGGACAATTCCCGAATCACATTATCCATGTTTTCCAGAATCACTGTGTGAAAGAGTCTTATATGATTTTCCAGAATTGTAAATAACGATTACTCGCTGTAAAAAATACTGGGTTCAACATTGTTTCTTCATGTTGTCCCAACACAGATAGATTAACTTAATTGTTTAACTAATTTAAGTTGATTGAATATAAAACAATTAAGTTGTCCCAAAAAATACCTCAATAATTGTGTTGTTTCAGCTTATTTCTATAAGTAGTTAGAACTATTTTTTTTCTGGAATACTTCTATGGGAAGTATCATTTCAGTCTTTCTACTAGGGCTGGGCGATACGGCATGAATGCAATCTCGATAATTATTTTCCATATTAAAGTACAACAATATATCAATATATACTGAAATAAGAAGATTGGCCAGAAAAGAAATGGTGCCCAACAGAGCCTGGTTTCTCACAAGGTTTTTTTTTCCTTTACTTCGTCAATTGGTGAAGTTTGTTCCCTGCCACTGTTGCCACTGGCTTGCTTGTTTTAGGGCTTGTGTAGCTGTGCATTGATGGATTTGCTCTTCAGTGTTTGGACTTTTAGCAGTGAAATTAAAACCACATTGAACTACACTAAACTGAACTTCAGCTCTGAAAACCGGACTAACAGTTTTAAATTACTAGAATATCTTTGTTAAGCTGCTTTGACACAATCTACATTGAAAAATTTATTGATATGAGCTGTTAATGCTTCCAGATTAAAAGAGTACCCCAACAATGACTGAAGCCACAAAAAATAGAGGGTTCATTAAATAGCATAACATATTTTCGGCCAATAAATTTTCGGTGGCCGAAAATTGGTACATCACTATTAAACACACTTTAAGATTCCCATAATTGCACATTTCTGCTGTGATTTGCTAAAACAGAGTAAAAAGGCCCTGAGCTTATCATTGTTGTGGACATAAATTTTATTGTGATTCAATATAATATAGTTTATCGGCCCTGCCCTACTTTCAACCCTAAAATGCCCCATTTAATAGGGCTTTCACATTTTCATGTGAGACTAAGAATTAACATTATGAAACTCTGCTCCAGATTAGGTCCACTGCTCTGCCTTTTTTTTTTTTTTTTTTTTTTTTTGCAGTGTAAACCCAGCAACGTAGTACCAAATCATACAATATGAAATTATATGGTATTAAAAACTTGCAACTACATGCACTCTCAGAAATAAAGGTACAGGAGCTGTCACTGGCGCCATTTTAAAAAATACATATTGGTACCCAAATAGTCCACAGTGGTACCTACAAGGTGCATATTAGTACCCAAATGTACCTAAAAAGTACCTTTGAGTAGGGCCAGACAAAATCTGCAGACTTTTTTTTTGCTATTTCGGCTAAATTATTTTGGGAGTATCATAACTAAAACCTTAATATATGAAATAAAAATAATATCTTTTAAACTTTTATTTAATGTTCATTCATTCATTCATTCATTCATTCATTTTCTTGTCAGCTTAGTCCCTTTATTAATCACCTTTTATTTAATGTTTAAAATGCAAATCCAATTAGATTCACTTCATTTGGTAAATGAAGCAAGTTTGTCATATAATATATCTAGTAAAAGACAGAAAATATTGCTGTACAAACTGCATTGTACATAAATCAGATGAACATTTTCACATGAGTCAATAATATTACTGAAATTAATTAAAAAAACTGAATAAATATAGATTTACACACATTTACTCAAGTAAATAAACAAATTAATGATGAAAAAATCTGCGGAATTCTGCGCGTGCAGATTCCGGGTGGGCCTATCTTTAGGGTACCATTATGGACCCTTCAGGTTCAAATATGTCGTTTTAAAAAGTTACTGCCCCAGAGACAGCTCCTGATCTTTTATTTCTGAAAGTATGCTAATAGGCAATTACACACCTGTTATTACAAACACCATTCATTTAGCAGTATGTCTCAGCTATTGAGCAGAAAAATGGATTAATAAGAGATCATAATTACTTTTATTCGAAAAGCCCACTCAGGATGTGCAACGCAAGCAGATTTGTCCACTGAAGTGTCATTAGTTAGTGTGAAACAGCAGTTTATGAGTACCCAGGATTAACTGTTAACCCAGGGTAAATTGAGAGCGATGTCAAATGTGAAACAAGGTAACGGGATTCCTTTTACCTGAGGTTTAAAATGTCCCATTGACTCTTTGACATGCCCTAATGTGTTACACGCAGTAGCTTGTAGCTAATTGTAAACACCGACTAGCAAACTGTTTCTATAAGAACATTTTTTGTTAGAGGTAGTATAATTTTAAAAGCCACTGAAGTGTTAAAGATGATGATTACAAGTGCAAACATAGCATGTAGAAGCTCAAATAATATGAGACCATAAAAGCTATAAGGAAAACATCTATAAAAGAACTTGCGAAATGCTACGCCATCACACCGCAAGACATTAACATCCTAGAATAGCTGAAACCAACATTATCTTCAATCAACAGAATGCTAAACAAAACGAAAGCTACCAAACATATAGACATAAAAATCAGCATATTTATAAGATGACAAAGCTTCACCCCTGCGTCATATGGAAATTATACCTTCCTCCAAAACGTTGTTGACTTTTCGTAAGATTAACTAAGAAAAGATGCAGATATTCCTGTCGAGTGCTTTGCAGTGGCGTCTGTCGTCTTTTACCGTGTACGTGGAGCTCACGAAGATAGCAGGGAGGTAAGAGACCTTTGGCCCTTGATGTCAATTAAAGGCAAGGGCCTTGTACTAAGACAGATCTGGAGTTAACGTTTAACACCCAACCCAACGCTGCGTCAGCTGAAGCTGTCGTGACATTTGCTACTAGTCCTAAATCTAACTGTGACACGCGAGTATACTTTACCCTTTCTCATTCACTTAACACTAACTTCCTGGCCAAAGACTTCACATTTGACTGGTTTTATTATCAAAGCTCATAAGTGACCTTGGACCACAAAACCACTCCATTTTTGGAAATTGAGATTTAAAAGCGAAATAAATGGGATTTCTGTTGATGTACACTGTAAAAAAGATGTACTCTTGCGCTACACATAATTAATTTGTGTTGGGGCAACATGAAGGAATTAAGTTAATTTATTAGTTTTTATAAATTCAAGTGGATTGAGCTTAAAACAATTGAGTTGTCCCTCCAAAAAACTTAAGAATTGTGTTGAACATAACTCATTTTAATTTTCTGAATGTTTTATTATTATTATTTTTTTGATTGTATGGTTTGCTAGGAAAGGACAATATTTGACCCAGATACACCTATAATTGTTCTGTAGACTATCTGGAAAAAATATAGCTTAAAGGGGCTAATAATTCTGACTTTAAAATGAGTTAAGAAAAATAAAACTTCTTTTATTAGATTAATAATCTTTATTAAAAAATTTTAAAATTAAAAATTAAACTTTATTTTATATATATATATATATATATATATATATATATATATATATATATATATATATATATATATATATATATATATATATATATATATATATATATATATATATATATATATATATATATATATATATATATATATATATATATATATATATATATATATATATATATATATATATATATATATATATATATATATATATATATATATATATATATATATATATATATATATATATATATATATACATATATATATATGTATGTATGTATATATTTATACACACATATATATAATTATTGCCTTTAAAGTTGTCCAAATTAAGTTCTTGGCAATGCATATTGCTCCTTTTTAATACGTTTTGATATATTTATGGTAGAAAATGTACAAAATGTCTTCATGAATTATGAACTTTACACAATATTTTAATGATTTTGTGGATAAAAAAAATTATTGTACATTATTTTCACCCATACATTGTATTTTTGCCTTTTCCCACAAGTGCGACATAAGGCTTGTTTTGTGGTCCAGGATCACATAAGTTTACCTGTAACACGCACAACCATAAACATAATTAATCTGGAAGGGCTCTTTGATAAAAGTGAAATCAGCTGATTAACCGGTCTTATAACTGGAGTGACTGGATATGGCTCATGTACAACGATCACAAAAACCTCATGATACCCTCCTGCCCTGCAATAAGACTTTATCAGTTTACCTGATGATCAGGAAAAGGGAATCACCGTCCATAAAACCATAGAACAAGCTGGAAAATATTATTCTACCACCAGTCACTCCTCTGTGCTGTTAAACGGATAGTTCACCCAAAAAAGCACATTTTGTTATCATTACCTGAGTTAATAGTTCATTGCACTTTGCAGGAAACCTGTCTTAGACTCAATATACATCTAGCAATAGATCACAAAGTATAATAAAAGTACCATAAATGTCAATGCCAATAGATGCAGGTATAAATTCTGTCTTGTATTGCTTACTTCTACATAAAGAAACTCTGTATCGCTTCTCTGATAGCATTTGTTTTGTACACTGCCCATAACTTGACCATTTGTAAAAACCAACAACCAACCATTGACTGTTGATGACTGACATACATCAACTTTGACAAGACATGCAAGTTTTGCTTTTGATTGAACTGTAGGTTTGCCATTCCCTGCACATAAACAACTTCTTGATAAAACAGCAGCATGAGATATTGAAGTGTGAGCATAAAATATCTTGGATGGATTTTTGAGCAGAGATAGTCAATGTGGGCTTTCCAAGTCAGTGTACGGTCATTGACCACCCCAAGATACTTGAAAGTATCCACTTGTTTGATCAAATTACCATGGATAATCATGGTCAGGGGGATGGTGGTGGTTTGGTGGTGTTTGACGGGGTGTGCGCGACGTGTCTGAAGAGCGAGGACGAATCCGGTGGGGAGGGGTGAGAAGGGTGCGCGACGTATTTGAGGACCGGGAGGGAGACGCACAATTTCTGGGAGATTATCACTCGTTTGCGGGTCTCTGTGCATTTGCGGGGGACTCGCAAAAGTTCTAGGAGACTTTGGATGTCTGGAATGACCTCCCGCCCTACTCATAATTCTCTCTTTATATAGCCATATGCCTCTTACACTGTGATATAAGCGGGTTCGGATCGTATTGCTTTGTCACTACAAACGATCCCCTCCAGAGTTCGTTTCTATCTAGCCGAGACCACCTCATTCAATCGATCTTGGAGCAATTGTTTTGGCGTGAATCCGAGCGCGATTGGTGGTTTCACATTTGCCAAACGAACCGCACTAACTGGGCAACCGAGACAGGTTCTGAAACAAAAGTCTAGGTGTGAAATCTCTCTTAATCTTGCTTATTTTAAGTATATCTGAGTATGACCTTGTTAATGTTAACTGCAAACATATTTTCCTTTTTTTTTTTTGGCAAAAAACAAAAAACAAAACTTCAGCTCCATCAAATGATTTAAAAGCAAAACAACAATACAAATTCTTCAAACTTTCTATAATTTTTAAATATTTTTTATTATTATTGGCAATATGCATTAATTTTATTTAACATCTGAATGGAAACACTGCAAACTCTAATGTAAAAGTGAAAAATTAGGTTTGTCTGTTAGCAGTGGGACATAAATAACTGTTACTTTCGTACAGGAACTCTTATACCATTTTAACCCGATTTACCTTCAAACTGAAAAACTCACACATTGCAGACTTAAGGACGTTATTGCACTAAATGACCTGCAGATTGATTATCACTGTAACACATGAACAGAAAAACACAACTTGTAATAAGGAAAAAAGAAACGCTACAATAATTGGTAGCACTTTACAATAAGGTTCATTAGTTAATGCATTTACAAACATGAACTAATCATGAAAAACACTTGTACAGCATTTATTAATCATAATTGAACATTTACTAATGCATTATTAACATTCAAGTCCATGCTTGTTAACATTAGTTAATGCACCATGAGTTAACATGAACTAACAATGAACAACTGTATTTTCATTAACTGACGTTTATTGACATGAATAAATACTGTAGTAAATGTATTGTTCATTGTTTGTTCATGTTAGTAAATGCATTACTTAACATTAACTAATGAACCTTATTGTAAAGTGTGACTCAATAATTTACTTTCTGCACTTAAAAACTGAATTTGGACCTAACTGCTGGACACGGTCCTAAAATCACATGATATTTGGCAGCTCCATCAAGGGTTGCATGCTGAATATGCTGTTAGCCAGGAAAGCAAATGTTGTTAGGGCTTTGAGAAAATCGATTTGTTACTTTTGTCCCACGTTACTTTCATCCCCGCTTTACCCTATTTTATGTTCATGTGGTGGTACAAACATGTCTGCTGAAGCATGTTTCTTCGAGATATTGATGCACTCAGTTTTACTTGATAATTTACCTTACACTTATATTAAAGAAATTTTATTTTATTTTAAGAACAATTGTTTGAAACGTTATACACTTTAAAAAGTCAGTGTCATTCAATTTTAATAAAAGACGTGATGCTTGATTTTATGTATTTTGTATTTATTCATTTATTTTTGTTATTGTGCTCGTCTGCACCCTCTTGTGGACATAGAAGGCACCGGTAATGGTACTTTTCCCTATAACATTATTATTAAGTTCTGATGTATGGAATACTGTTTCCAGGTCCAAGCTCATTTGAATTGTTTATGACGACTTTTTGGTCATAGCAAACTACAATTAAAGTTTAAAAATCATGGTGTAAACAACTATCTCTGGACATGCCACATCACAGAAATCAATGTTAGCAATTTCTAAAAAAATAATCCCTTTCTGGCCATCTGAGCGTTGATTTATATATTGCGATCGTGGTTTTCAAAAGTATTACAGCACTTTGTAAACATTTATTATTTTCATTTGTTGAGTCTACGCATACAGTTTGATAGAGCTATGCGATCTGGAAGCCGATTTGCGTGCCATCACACTTAACAAGCGGATACTCAAGAAATATCTTGAATAATTCATTTTCGTTTTTTGGCCATATTGATAGTCCTAGCCTGTTCCAAACCTGTTTGAGGGTTTTTCTTGCTTTAAACACAAATTTTTACAAAACAGTTTGTTCCAACTATGGAAGTCAATGGATGCTTTTTCAGTGTTTTTTCAGAATATCTTGTTTTGTTTTCAAAAGAAGAAAGAAATTCAGTTTAAAACCTACTGTAAAAACTACTGTATTTTCATTAACTAACGTTAACTAGCATGAACAAATACAGCAGTAAATGTATTGTTCATTGTTTGTTCATGTTAGTACATGCATTAGTTAACATTATCTAAGGAACCTTATTGTAAAGTGTGACCAAATAGTTTGTTCCTACTATGGATGTCAATGGCTGCTTTTTTTCCCAGTGTTTTTTTTCAGAATATCTTGTTTTGTTCTCAAAAGGAGAAAGAAAGTCAGTTTAAAACCACTTTAGTGCAAGTAAATGTTGAGGAAGTTTTAACTTTTGAGTCAACTGTCCCTTTAAACTCGCTGGAGGAGGAACAAGAAACCTCAGCTGACAGATGTTTGACAGCAGGCCTTCATGTTTTAAACATGACCCTGCACAATGCAGCATTTGTACAAAGTAAGACGATGTAAGAGAGAGGGGAAAACAAGCAATACCCCATTTCTTGATTAAACCACTACAAATAATTAAAGGGTACATGAAAAAAAAAAAAAAAATATATATATATATATATGTTGGAACTACTTTAATAGTATACATATTTTAATAGTAGAA